CACCATCCCCACAGTGAAGCATGGTGGTGGCAGCATCATGCTGTGGGGATGTTTTTCATTGGCAGGGACTGGAAAACTGGTCAGAATTGAAGGAATGATGGATGGCGCTAAATACAGGGAAATTCTTGAGGGAAACCTGTTTCAGTCTTCCAGAGATTTGAGACTGGGACCGAGGTTCACCTTCCAGCAGGACAATGACCCTAAGCATACTTCTAAAGCAACACTCGAGTGGTTTAAGGGGAAACATTGAAATGTCTTGGAATGGCCTAGTCAAAGCCCAGACCTCAATCCAATTGAGAATCTGTGGTATGACTTAAAGATTGCTGTACACCAGCGGAACCCATCCAACTTGAAGGAGCTTTAGCAGTTTTGCCTTGAAGAATGGGCAAAACTCCCAGTGGTTAGATGTGCCAAGCTTATAGAGACATACCCCAAGAGACTTGCAGCTGTAATTGCTGCAAAAGGTGGCTCTACAAAGTATTGACTTTTGGGGGGTGAATAGTTATGCACGCTCCAGTTTTCTTTCTTTTTTTGTCTTATTTCTTGTTTGTTTCACAAGAAAAAATATTTTGCATCTTCAAAGTGGTAGGCATGTTGTGTAAATGAAATGATGGTGGTGGAAAACGCTGTCTCAGGCGTCACTCCAGAATCTCCCATAAGTGTTCAATTTAAATTGAATAAAATGTTGTCACATCCTTCGTAAACAACAGATGTAGACTAACAGTGAAATTCTTACTTACGGGCCCTTCCCAACAATGCAGTGAGAAAAAAAGGAAAACAATAGAAAAACAATAACACAAGGAATAAATACACAATGAGTAACGATAACTTGGCTACATACAGTGAGGGAAAAAAGTATTTGATCCCCTGTTGATTTTGTACATTTGCCCACTGACAAAGAAATTATCAGTCTATAATTTTAATGATAGGTTTATTTGAACAGTGAGATGTCAAAATTTTTATAAATTGATTAGCATTTTAATGAGGGAAATAAGTATTTGACCCCCTCTCAATCAGAAAGATTTCTGGCTCCCAGGTGTCTTTTATACAGGTAACGAGCTGAGATTAGGAGCACACTCTTAAAGGGAGTGCTCCTAATCTCAGCTTGTTACCTGTATAAAAGACACAGGTCCACAAAAGCAATCAATCAATCAGATTCCAAACTCTCCACCATGGCCAAGACCAAAGAGCTCTCCAAGGATGTCAGGGACAAGATTGTAGACCGACACAAGGCTGGAATGGGCTACAAGACCATCGCCAAGCAGCTTGGTGAGAAGGTGACAACAGTTGGTGCGATTATTCGCAAATGGAAGAAACACAAAATAACTGTCAATCTCCCTCGGCCTGGGGCTCCATGCAAGATCTCACCTCGTGGAGTTGCAATGATCATGAGAACAGTGAGGAATCAGCCCAGAACTACACGGGAGGATCTTGTCAATGATCTCAAGGCAGCTGGGACCATAGTCACCAAGAAAACTATTGGTAACACACTACGCCGTGAAGGACTGAAATCCTGCAGCGCCCGCAAGGTCCCCCTGCTCAAGAAAGCACATATACAGGGCCGTCTGAAGTTTGCCAATGAACATCTGAATGATTCAGAGGAGAACTGGGTGAAAGTGTTGTAGTCAGATGAGACCAAAATGGAGCTCTTTGGCATCAACTCAACTCGCCGTGTTTGGAGGAGGAGGAACGCTGCTTATGACCCCAAGAACACCATCCCCACCGTCAAACATGGAGGTGGAAACATTATGCTTTAGGGGTGTTTTTCTGCTAAGGGGACAGGACAACTTCACCGCATCAAAGGGATGACGGACAGGGCCATGTACCGTCAAATCCTTCCCTCAGCCAGGGCATTGAAAATGGGTCGTGGATGGGTATTCCAGCATGACAATGACCCAAAACACACAGCCAAGGCAACAAAGGAGTGGCTCAAGAAGAAGCACATTAAGGTCCTGGAGTGGCCTAGCCAGTCTCCAGACCTTAATCCCATAGAAAATATGTGGAGGGAGCTGAAGGTTCGAGTTGCCAAATGTCAGCCTCGAAACCTTAATGACTTGGAGAAGATCTGCAAAGAGGAGTGGGACAAAATCCCTCCTGAGATGTGTGCAAATCTGGTGGCCAACTACAAGAAACGTCTGACCTCTGTGATTGCCAACAAGGGTTTTGCCACCAAGTACTAAGTCATAATTTGCAGAGGGGTCAAATACTTATTTCCCTCATTAAAATGCAAATCAATTTATAACATTTTTGACATGCGTTTTTCTTGATTTTTTGTTGTTGTTAATCTGTCTCTCACTGTTCAAATAAACCTACCATTAAAATTATAGACTGATCATGTCTTTGTCAGTGGGCAAACGTACAAAATCAGCAGGGGATCAAATACTTTTTCCCCTCACTGTACACAGGGTACCAGTACCGAGTCAATGTGCAGGGGTATGAGGTAATTGAGGTAGATATGTACATATAGGTAGGGATCTCAATTGTGTTAAGATTATATTTCTATGGCGGCAACTCAACAAGCTGTTTGATATTTGGTGAGTGTGCTGCCCAAATTGTGGCTCTCTGGTGTAGTATTTTGAACGATTTTATTGATGTCTGTTCAGACAGGAGTAATAACATTTTGGAAAATGTATTTGAATTTATCAGAAGGTGGTGCTGCAGCACCTCCAGCACCCCTACTTCGCGCGGCTATGGGCGAAACTGTGCAGGGAAGCCATTTTGTATAGCTAATTGCTCAGGTACAGTATAAATAAGGCTTAAATGCCATGATACCCAGGCTCCTCCCTTCAAAGAGAAAGCAGCCAATGAGAAGACAGAGCCAGATGAGTGATTACGCCCCAGTAAGAGAGCAGTGGTAATAACTTTATTGCAAAAATACAGGATCCCTCTTTCCCTCGTTCGCCAAGCAATGATACCCAGTACCAACACACACACACACACACACACAAACAAACACATCTCTCTCTCTAAAAACGACTCCTAGCCCTCTTTCATCCTCACATCATCTCTATTTCACACACAGGACATACTTTTATCTCCTCTCTACTTCATCCTTTCTTTCATTCATCGTCGCTCTTTCTTCCTCTCTCTCTTTGCATTGAATTTCCATTGGCTGTTCCAAGCATAGTATACACAGTATGCCTTCTTACTACATAGTGAAGCACTTCAGTACTATGTATGTATATGGCACAAATCGGAAATCACACCCTATTCCCTATGTAGGGCTCTAGCCAAAATTGGTGTGTACTACATAGGGAGTTGGGTGCCATTTGAGATCGAGCCTATGACTTACTACAGAGTTCAACAGCAGCATTTAATCACGTATCTTCTTTACTTAATTTCGTAAATAAAGCATCCGTTCGTGGGCGTGTCCACTTCCTGCCTGTCAGGTCAGAGGTCAAGGGTCAGGAGGGAAGGTTGATTTGCATAGCAGACTCATGCGCTACAGTTGGCTACATTCTCCAACATCCACAACACAAACAGCAACAAAATAAACAAATTAATAAATACATTTTTTTTAAAATCACAATGTTAAAGACAGATCTGTGTCTTTGTCTAAGTGCCAACCTTTGGTTTAAATACAACAATCATGTATCAGTTCTGTCTAGATCTCATTCTGCACTGGGCCATTGGTCTCCAAATAGGGATTAGTTATAATGTATTAAATGTATGTACTTATTATGTATGTACTGTACATACATATTATATGTACATATTATGTCATAACATGTTCAGTAGGTTAAATCATATCGTAACATTTTCAAGACATGTCAGTGTTATTCAGTTAGGGGTAAGTCAGATAAATAAAATGTGTTACTTACTAACCCTGTTATAACTGGAGGATGAGAGACATTTCCATGATAAAAGTATATCATGTCATGGCCTTAAAATATATCTCTAATACATACAGTACATATAAAGTATATTTATAATATAGTGTTTCACCATTCATATCTGAGTAACATCAGGGTCAGAGCTGAACTGAAAGGTCCAGAAGATAAAGAATCTCAGTAACTAAGAACCAATCATGTTAACCTGAGGCCTCAAATAAATTAGATTACATTTACCCTTCATCAAGTACACTTCAGCAAGTACCATTAAGCTAGTACACTTTCCTAAGTACCCTTCAACAAATACCCTTCCCAAATTACAATTTAGTTCCATTACCCTACCTCTATCATAGCTCTCTCTCACGTTACATCAGGTGTGCAAAAAAAATAAAAGGTAGTTTCTCCCGATAGAAATGGGAGAGCAGCGTTAGCCATTACAACGGTCAGTCAGGTGACCTCCAGCTGGACACTTGTGAAGGTCACTCAATTCAGGACCAGGAGTCACCACTAAAGTTATCAATATCTTCATTATTATCATTATTAATATGAACATTCCATAAGGTCTTAATAACATACAGGTTTCATATATCGTTTTTCTGTACATGACTTTAGTTATTATTAGAGTTCAGTCTATACGTAGCTATGTAGGCACGTACGCACTAGTCCTGGGGTTCCTGTGGAAACAACATATCCAGGTGTGCTGTGCTGTCATCAGACAGGAAATGCCCATGAAGAAAAAGGAAGAAGCCGTGGCTTATCAGTAACCCCCTGTGGATCTTTCAGTCACCTAAAGGTTCCAGAGCAACCTCTGATTGAGGCAGATAAAGCAGGGAGATCAGAGGCTAAACCAGGCTAGCTAATCTACTCCCTCCTTTATAGACCCAAAGAGGGGCAGGCTAGCAGGATAACGTTCAGAGTCTGACTATATTAGGAGGCTAACAGGCTAGCAAGTCACAAGCTAGCTAGCTAGAAGAGTAATTAGGTGAGTTTGTTGTTTTGGGTTTCAGAGTAATTCCTGCTAAGGGGGACTGAGAATGACTGCATAGACTGAATAGTTGAAGAAGGGCGGAGGGCGCGAGATGGGGATAGAGGGAGGTTAGTAGACCACTGAGGGACGGACGTGGGGAGAGGTGTGTGTTTGAGGTTGGGGGGTCCTAGACCAACCCCCTATTGTGGCGGTGGGTGAGGTGCAGGGCTGCCTTGGAAGCGGTGTGGAGGGTTAGGACTCCGGATGTCTGCCCTAGGAGCTGCCTGTAGCGGTGTGGAGGGTAAGGACCGCAAAGAGCTGTCCTGGGAGGTGCCTTTAGCGGTGTGGAGTGTTAGGATCCCAGAGAGCTGCCCTGGGAGGTGCCTGTAGCACTGTGGAGGGTTAGGACCCTAGAAGGCTGCCCTGGGATGTGCCTGTAGCAGTGTGGAGGGTTAGGACCCTAGAGGTCCAACCTGGGATGTGCTTGTAGCGGTGTGGAGGGTTAGGACCCCAGAGAGCTGCCCTACGAGTTTCCTGTAATGTGTGGAGGGTAAGGACCCCATCAAGCTGCCCTGGGAGGTGCCTGTAGCAGTGTGGAGGGTTAGGAGCCCAGAGAGCTGCCCTAGGAGGTTCCTGTAGCGTAGATGCATATGGAGGCAGGTCAGTGGTCTGAAGACCACTGTCTTAAGTGGTCTGAAGTCAGCTTCACCCCCGTCAGACACCAGAAACTCCCCACGCCATTGGGCATCTCCTGCAGGGGGAGGGACAACACAGTGACGGACAGGCCCCAGAGGTGAAGGGTAAGGGGTCATGAAAGGACTGGGTGATGATAATGATGATTATGAAGTGAGTGAGTGAGTGAGTGAGTGAGTGAGTGAGTGAGTGAGTGAGTGAGTGAGTGAGTGAGTGAGTGAGTGAGTGAGTGAGTGAGTGAGTGAGTGAGTGAGTGAGTGAGTGAGTGAGTGAGTGAGTGAGTGAGTGAAAGAGAACAGTGTGATGATAGTGCAGATGAGATGAGGTAAATGAGGTAAAAACAGAGATGCAGCTCTACAACATGACCACTGGAGTGCAGCAGTGCGTGTGTGTGTGTCAGTTGAGGCTGCTTAGGGGAAGACGCCTCATAATAATGGCTGGAACGGAGCCAATGGAATGGCATCAAACACATGGAAACCATGTTTTTGATACCATTCCACTGATTCCACTCCAGCCATTACCACGAGCCCGTTCTCTCCAATTAAGTTACCACCAACCTCCTGTGGTGTTTGTGTATGATAAACTCACAAAGCTGCGTGCTGCAGTGAGACGATGGCGACGCGGGTTGATGACTGTGCCGCTCAGACTGCGGACAATTGTGCTGTTGCTGTCAGTCCGGTACACACTCCTCTCCATGTTGGTGTTGGGAGTGAGGGAGCGGGCTGGCCCTCTTACCCCACACTGCAGCCTCCCGGCCGGGCTGCCACCTAGACACACGCAGGGTAAAAGCTGGAGGTCAGGGATCATACACACTATATAGACACACATAGCTTCATACACACACTAGACACACAGCTACTGTACATACACACTTCAAACATAAACACACATACACACAACTACAATATCTACAGTACGTACCTCTACTTCCTGCCTGGAGGCTGGCCCGGTACAGGAAGTCCAGCTCTGATAACTCCGCCTCCTCAGGGTCACAGGTGTCATGCTGCCCAGGGGCAGGCTGGGAGTTGTATTTTCGGTGGGAGAGGTGTGCCTTAATGGGGAGGCAGCAGTCTGGAGGTGTGTCATATGGCGTAACCACGGCATCTGGGCGGTCCAAGCTCCAGGAGGACCAATGACTTGTGATGGTGTTGGAGGCAGAACCTTGATTGGGCCAATCAGAAGAGATGGTGGGGGGAGAGGGGTGGGGCTGACTGCGGGATGAGGGGGGGTTGGGTGTAGGGTCAGACTGTTTGTGTGGGGGCTCAGGGTTTGTATATATGTGTGAGGAGTCAGGGTTTGAATGTGGGGGTGGAGGTTGTGTGTGTTGGGAGTCAGAGTGTGAATATGTGTGTGAGGGGGTAGTGTGTGTGTCTGATATATCCCAGAGTCTGAGAGGTAGAGAGGGAAGAGAGATGGCCAGGTGTCTGCCTAGAGGTCTCACACACACACCCCCAACCTGTAACAACTCTTCCAGCCTCATCCCCTGTCTTTCCTCACCCCTCCTCACCCGCTCCCCCTCCTCAACTTTCCTCAGTCCCTGTCCCCTGACCTCACTCATCCCCCCATCCTCCTCCCTCCTGACCTGTTCTCTCCCCTCCTCAACCTGTGCTGGGGGGTTGTTGCTGGGAGGGGGTTGGAGGGATGAGTGGAAAGGGATAAGGTTGGGGGAGGGTCTATAGGAGAGAGAGGGCTGGCCAGGGCCCAGGGCTGCATCCTGGTAGGCTGGCCGGACCTCTTCCCCCTCCTGATTGGGCGTCAGCAGTACTTGGAGCGGGCCAGGCTGTTCACTGATTGGGCGACAGGAGAAAAGGGGCAGATCAGAGACGCTCAGCAGCCATTCACAATCAGAATAAATAAAGGATTTTTTTTAAACACTTAAAATGAAATATGTTGAAATAAAAGCATCTTATGTCAGGCTCATGACTGTGTAATGTAGGATTTATAAAGCTATAAGACACTTAATCATCAAGACACCAGTCAGCAAGCAAGCACACAAACACACAAACACAATCCACCACCCTCCACATTAACTCTCTACATCTCCGCTGGCTCAGTAATTACCCAGCAGCCTTTGCAGCAGTCACCCATTAATCACAGCTCAACGTTGATCAATAGAAGAGGAGAGGAAGAGAAAAATAAAGAACCAGATAGAGGAGAGGAAAAAAGAATAATAAGGGAATAAAGAATAAATGAGATAGAGGTGTTAAGAACAAGACATAGTAGGAGAGGAAGAGGGGAATAAATAACGAGATGGAAGAGAGGAGTAAAGAATGAGGGGAAAGCACTAGTCTCCTCTCCTCATCTTCCCCTGCTGACTACATATACAGTACACTTCCCATCCAACACAGCATCAGCCCCTCACGAACAGACAGACAGGCAGAAAGGCAGACAGACCTACAGCCCACTCCTAGACAGGTCTGGACCAGATATCTCACCATCAACACAACAAGTACCAGTACAAACCAGTAAAGACCAGCATTGACCAACACAGACAAATACAGACCAGTACAGACCACCTATCTCAGAGCAGAAACACTTTCCACTCCACGACACACAGAGGAGTTAGTTTTTGTTTTGGACAGGCAGAGCTGGGACACACACAGAAGGGTCCTGGGGTGGGTTTTGGGGACACACAGGGGACAGTTATGGTACCTGAGATGCCCCTGTGGACGGGCGCTTCTTGTCTCCTGCTCCAAATCCTGTGTGATTGGTTCCCAAGTGCTCCTCATGCACGCAGCTACAGCCAATCCACTATGAGCATTAGCCTCATGCAAGGGGCTGAGCACAGCTGGGAATGTTAACGAGAGATGGAAAAGAGAGAGAGAGAGAGAGGAGATCTAGATAGAGAGAGAGAATAGAGAGATAGAGAGAGAGGGAAGCGATGGAAAAGAGAGAGAGAGGAGAGAGATAGTATAGCTAGAGATAGAGAGCTATATCTAAGCGAGAGAGATAATACTCTCGCTCGCGCTATCTCCTCTCTCTCTATCTATCAGCGAGCAGCATCTACGATAGCGCCCCTAGCTCTCTTTGAGAGTATATAACATCACGTTGCTGATCGTGGCAAAGTTTTTAAATGGAAATAGAAAGAAGTTGTAAATAATACCGATATTAAATAAAATATAAAGAGAGGGGGAAGAGGGATTGAGGAAAGAGAGGCAGAAAAAAGAGAAGCAGAGTAGAGGAGTGGTTATGAGGGGGCCAGCATGCAAACAGCTCCTTTATGCGTGTGTGTCTGTGTGTGTGTGTGTGTGTGTGTGTGTGTGTGTGTGTGTGCGTGCGTCGGTTAGTCAATGACAGAGAGATGAGGTTTTCAAGAGAGAGAGCAGAGCTGGGGTCGTGAGGTCAGGGGAAGACGCTGGCCTTCAGAACAGATCTAGTATCAGCTTGTGCAGCATTTAACCCTAGTGCTGTCTGAGGTGTTAGTGGGTTAGGAGAAGATGCAGAGACACACAGCAGGAGAGCAACCATCAAATCTGGGGTACGTTCAGAGACGACAAGCAGGTTCCCAATGAGTTGTATCAATGTTGACTTGCACTGTGCAAGAAGTGCAGTGATGTTCCTCTCCTGTTGTTAGATGTGATGTGTTACATGGAACCAGGCTAGGCAGACTGAGGTGGTTATTATTAGCTTAAAGCATTAACATTGGTATGCAACGCTAAAACCATTATATCGCATATAAATAATGCCACCGATTTACCCGCAGGTTATGTGTGTGTGCGTGCATGCGTGCGTGCGGATGTGTGTGTGTGTTGAAGAAGTTGAACGACAGACAACCAGACACACAGGGACACACGCCCCTACTGATTCAATTAATAAATTAACCACCCAGTGATGGTGTGTCAGTGCTGGGCCAAAACAAAAGCCTGCACACACTGTAGATCTCCAAGACCAGGGAGTCGAGAAAACTCTTCTATACACTGTTATAGCATCACACACATACACACACAGTAGGTATCCATAAACACACCCAAAATGAGGCAATACAAAAAGTATCTTCTCTAGCGTCCTGACAAGACAAAAGGACGGGACAGACAGCCACCAAAGGAGGACGTGTAAGGAACAGACAGTCAAGTCATGGTGACACACTTTCCCTCTCACACATACACACCCTCCCGCCCTCACCCTGGTGTTGCAGCTGGTCTAAGTCCATGTATTTAGAGGGTCTGGGGTTGAAGCCCAGGGCAGCTTCTCTCTCTGCCTCTTTCCTCCTCTGCTGCTCCTGCTGCCTCGCTCTCCTCGCCACCTCCTCCTGAAGCTCATCCAGCTCGCTACGGCCAGCGCCTACACACACACCGTATGCAAACACACGCATGCACACACACACACCGTATGCAAACACACACACACACACCGTATGCAAACACACACACACACACACACACACCGTATGCAAACACACGCACAGGAACGTGGGAGAAACAAACTTTTGAGTATAATTACTGTACAAACACACACACACACACACATACACTCTACCACTCTGACACCATTACATATCACACACACATATATACACACACCCAGGTTGTTGTTCCTGCCCCAGCTAGGTGCTGGCAGCTCCTGCAGGATGGCACTGGTGCTCTTAGACTTGGGGACCGAGCGCCACGATGGACCAGACATCAACACACGCTTCTGACCTACCTCCCTGAGAGAGAGAGAGAGAGAGAGAGAGAGAGAGAGAAACTCTGTGAGACTACAACAAGGACAAAACACATTGCGCTGCCATGATGTGTGTGTGTGTGTGTACCTGTCAGGGCTGCTGCTGTTCCTCTCGCTGCTCTCGTAGCCACTCTCCATTCTCTGGATCAGACAAGGCTGAAGCTCCGCCCCTCTCAACAGGGGAGGAGGAGGGGGGCAGTCCGTACCGTTGCCTAGCAACCCAGGCTTCCCTGCCACCCCAGCCACCCCCTCAGTGTCTCCCCCCAAGCCCCCTACACCCCAGGCCACCTCTCCTGCCCCTTGCAGATCAGGCATGTTAGTTGGACAGTGTTGATGGAGCTTTGGAGGTAGACCGGGCCCGGGCAGGGTGCTGTAGCCCAGCGGAGAGCCTCTCTGGCGGGTAAAGATGCTGTCGATGTTCAGGGCCTCCCTCCGTGGCCTCCAGGCCGGCCGATAACATCGACCACCAGAGGAACTGGAGAGTCAAACATATAGCAGGTAACACTGTAAAAGGTTAACTTACTGTAACAAGCAAGGAGAACAAACTTTACCACAACACTTGTTATATAAGCCTTCTACTGTGTAACACTCACATGGACTTGGACTATATGGAAGTACAGTGCCTTCGGAAAGTATTCAGACCCCTTGATTTTTTCCACATTTTGTTACGTTATTCTAAAATTGATTAAACTGTTTTTTCCCTCATCAATCTACATACAATACCCCATAATGACAAAGCAAAAACAGTTTTAGACAAAACTGAAATATCACATTTACATTAGTTTTCAGACCCTTTACTCTGTACTTTGTTGAAGCACCTTTGGCAGCGATTACAGCCTTGAGTCTTCTTGGGTATGACGCTACAAGCTTGGCACACCTGTATTTGGGGAGATACTCCCATTGTTCTCTGCAGATCCTCTCAAGCTCTGTCAGGTTGGATAGGGAGCGTTGCTGCACAGCTATTTTCAGGTCGCTCCAGAGATGTTCGATCAGGTTCAAGTGCGGGCTCTGGCTGAGCCACTCAAGGACATTTAGAGACTTGTCCCGAAGCCACTCCTGCGTTGTCTTGGCTGTGTGCTTATGGTTGTAGTCCTGTTGGAAGGTGAACCTTCGCCCCAATCTGAGGTCCTGAGCTCTCTGGAGCAGGTTTTCATCAAGGATCTCTCTGTACTTTGCTCCGTTCATCTTTGCCTCGATCCTGACTAGTCTCCCAGTCCCTGCCACTGAAAAACATCCCCACAGCATGATGCTGCCACCACCATGCTTCACCGTAGGGATGGTGCCAGGTTTCCTCCAGACGTGACGCTTGGCATTCAGGCTCTAGAGCTCTAGAGCTCTGTCAGAGTGACCATCGGGTTCTTGGTCACCTCCCTGACCAAGGCCCTTCTCCCCCGATTTCTCAGTTTAGCCGGGCGGCCAGATCTAGGAAGGGTCTTGGTGGTTCCAAATTTCTTCCATTTAAGAATGATGGAGGCCACTATGTTCTTGGGGACCTTCAATGGTGCAGAAATTTTTTGGTACCCTTCCCCAGATCTGTGCCTCGACACAATCCTGTCTCAGAGCTCTACGGACAATTCCTTCAACCTCATGGCTTGGGTTTTGCTCTGACATGCACTGTCAACTGTGGGACCTTATATAGACAGGTGTGTGCCTTTCCAAATCATGTACAATCAATTGAATTTACAACAGGTGGACTCCAATCAAGTTGTAAAAACATCTCAAGGATGATCAATGGAAACAGGATGTACCTGAGCTCAATTTCGAGTCTCATAGCAAAGGTTCTGAATACTTATGTAAATAAGGTATTTCAGTGTTTTATTTTTAATACATTTGCAAACATTTCTAAAAACCTATTTTCGCTTTGTCATTATGGAGTATTGTGTGTAGGTTGCTGAGAATTTGTATTTATTTAATCCATTTTAGAATAAAGCTGTAACGTAACAAAATGTGGAAAAAGTCTAGGGGTCTGAATACTTCCCGAAGGCACTGTATGTGTCAGTATAAATGTGTGTTTATGTTCAGTAGCACCCACCTAGACTTGGACTCGCTGCTAGTGCTCTCATCCTCCCAGTGAGGCCCCACGGCCCCTGCCTCAGATCCCAGCACAGACCCCCCTATACCCGAGGAAGAGGAAGAGGACATGGGACGGGAGGAAGAGGAGGAGGAGACGGGATAGGAGGAACAGGTAAAGGAGGCGGCATGGGAGGAAGAGCACGACGACATGGGACGACGAGAGGAGAGGAGGAACACAGCTGTCTCTTTATAGTCCCCCTGCTGCAGGGTCGGGGAGGGTGGACGGGGGGGAGCCTCTGCTACTGAGTCTGATAGATAGATAGAGAGGGTGGTTAGATTGTTTTTGTGTTTACGGTTCTCCAACTCTGATCCTGGAGGACTATAGAGTGTGCAGGCTTTTGTTTTAGCCCAGCACTAACACACCTGATTCAATTGATCAACTAATCATTTGCTGAATCAGATATGTTACTGAAGTGGTATTGTAACATTATGTAATTCACCTGTTGCGTCTGCACTGTGTACAGGAGTGCCGCTGTCATGGTTACCGACCACGGTGGTCTGCGAATCATTGGACAGGTGGCTGCCTGTTGACTGGTGGAGAGAGCGATTTCGAGATGCTCGGTGGCTGGAGCTGTCTGAGGAATCTGTACGGGTATCACTGGATATGGAGGGCTCCCGCCCTGAGAGAGAGAGAAAGAGAGAGAGCGAGAGGGAGGAAGGCAGAGAGAGGGGGAGAGAGACAGACAGAAAAGGAGAAGAGAGAGAGTTTTAGGGTAAGTGTCAAGCTTAAGGAGTTTTGGGGTGAGGGTCAGGGTTAGGGTTTAGAGGTCAGAGGTCAGGGGTTAAAGGTTACCAGAGTCCTCGCTGTCATAGCCAGCCTTGCTGCAGTGCAGGTCCAGCTGGGGGTTAGAGGAGGGGTTGTCTTGCGATACCACCGGCGTCCCTCGGGGGTCAGCATAGAGCAGCAATAGAGGCTGGTAGTGACCCTTTATACACCGCGCCACCACATCCTTCCACTTAGGACCGATCTATCGAGATAACACACACAGACACACACTACTAACTAACATATCTACTGTTGTGCCCTTGAGCAAGGCACTTAACCCCCAAAGATCCAGGGACGATGAATTTCCGTTCTAACCAAGTGGACAATAAAGTATCTATTCACTCTATTCATTAATGATATCCTTTATACAGGTAAATTCTAGATAACACACATATCAACTATCTAACTAACTAATTCACTCAGTCACTGACTCACCTCTTTGACATGAGCGTCGTCGAAGTACATCCACTTGCGTATCTTAGTCTGGAAGAAGAATGTGGAGTAGTGTTTACCATAGTAGCACACCATACCAACCAGGTACAGCTCAGCCTGACGAGCCCTCTCCTCTGTCACACGGTAGAACAACTAGGGGAGAGGGAGAGGAGGAGAGAGAAAGAAAGAAAGAGAGAAAGAGAGAGGTGAGAAATCAGATGTACTAGAGGATAAAATAGAGAAGAATAGGTATGAGGTATGTTGTCTGGGCAATCTAAAGAAATCAAGACCACATTAGCCCACTGAGCTAAAGCCTGCTAAGGTTAATCATCGTGTGTAAGTGTTTGTGTGTGTTTGCGTGTGTGCGTCTCTTACATCCCCCAGGCGTAGACAGGTGCCCAGGCTGTGAATGACGTCCTCAGCCAGGTCCGAGTGGTCTGAATCCCAGACCAGGCCGATGGACACTATCTCTGGAGAGTTCATCAACACACGGCGGATACGCAACACCTCCCCACAGTTACTCTACAGGGTTGGAAGTGAGGCAGAAGAAAACAGAAAATAATAACATTATTCAAAGAGTAGAAGAATGGTTTCAAATGATTATTGTAAGGAATCTGAGGAATCTTATTTGGAATCTGGGAGTAAAAAGAGAGAGAGAGAGAGCGAGAGAAGAGGACTCTATATTGTTGAGAGAGAGACAGAGACAGAGAGAGAGAGAGAGAGAGAGAGAGAGGGAGGGGGGATAGTTTGCTGAGTAGTGTTTGTCCAGTAGCCTTCTGTTCTGTTGAGTTCAGAACCGTGTGTTCTAGACCCTTCCTCTGACTCACAAACCACCACAGAGCTGGCAGAACACACACACAGAAACGAACACACAAACGCACACACATACACACACACAAACGCACAGACACACAAGCAAACACACACACCAGGGCTGGCAATGCCGGCTCGAAAACAGCCTGAGAACACCCTGGCAACCAGAGAGAGTGCCAGAACACACACACAAAGAAAAACACACACACACACCCTTCATGGGCAGCGGGTTGGACTGGGCTGGCACCGGTACTGACAGGAAGGGATTATGCCAGGATGACCTGGTCCTGAGAAAGGGACACACACACTCTCATAGCAACACACACCACTCATCTGAACAACACACAATAGGACCGGGAGAAGTGCATGGGGCTATGGGATAAACGGTCAGTTAGCCCAAGGGACATAGCATAGGGCCAAAACTATCACAGGCAGTGAAGGGATCCTCTCAGCCTCACAATAACAAGATAATGGTGGTGTGACTAGCAGGGAGACTGGGGACTGGAGAGCTGGTGGGTTGTAGAAGGGGCCAGCTGCCAGGCTCTGCCCGGAGAAGAGGCCCTTTGTGTGGATTCTCTGGCAGAGAGGGGCAGGGTGTGTGGAGCAGCACTGGATCTATTCACAGCCTCACACCAACAGCTCTTTACCATGAGGCAGCAGCACAAAGCTCACACACACACACCTGCATGCAAGCCAGTACAAAGAGCTGTCAATGTGTGTTCATCAATGCGTGAGTGTTTTTGTTTGCATGCATGCACACGTGTGTGTGTGTGTGTGTGTGTGTGTATGTGTGTGTGTGTGTACACTCACCGGGCAGTTGCGTAGGTCTCCCATGTTGCTGGCGTTGCGGAGCAGCTCTCCAAACATGTCGGGCGTGGGCTTCTCTCTGCACTCTAACATCCTCACAGCCTGGTTACTGCAGCAAGGACACAAACATACACACGTGTCCTCAAGAACACACACTGGAATAAACTATACAAACACATACAGGTAACTGTCAAAATAAAGGAAACACCATCAAAGTGTCTTAATAGGGCGTTGGCCCACCATGAGCCACTAGAACAGTTTCAATGCACCTTGGCATACAGTAGATTCTACAAGTGTCTGGAACTCTATTGGAGGGATGCGACACTATTCTTTCACGAGAAATTACATAATTTGGGGTTTTGTTGATGGTGGTGGAAAACGCTGTCTCAGGCGCTGCGCCAGAATCTCCCATAACTGTTCAATTGGGTGGAAATCTGGTGACTGACACCCCCTATGCTCCTTTGAGACCCCTCTTTCAAAGTCACTGAGATCTCTTCTTCGAGCCATGGCAGCCAAAATAATGGGCAACTGGGCATTTTTATACATGACCCTAAGCATGATGGGATGTTAATTGCTTAATTAACTCAGGAACCACACCTGTGTGGAAGCGCCTGCTTTCAATATACTTTGTATCCCTCATTTACTCAAGTGTTTCCATTATTTTGGCAGTTACCTGTATATCATCATGAACAGAACACAGTGTACTATTCACACACATCCTCAAGAACACACACTGCACTATACACACACATCCTCAAGAACACACACTGCACTATACACACACATCCTCAAGAACACACACTGCACTATACACACACATCCTCAAGAACACACACTGCACTATACACACACATCCTCAAGAACACACACTGCACTATTCACACACATCCTCAAGAACACACACTGCACTATACACACACATCCTCAAGAACACACACTGCACTATACACACACATCCTCAAGAACACACACTGCACTATTCACACACATCCTCAAGAACACACACTGTACTATACACACACATCCTCAAGAACACACACTGCACTATACACACACATCCTCAAGAACACACACTGCACTATACACACACATCCTCAAGAACACACACTGCACTATTCACACACATCCTCAAGAACACACACTGTACTATACACACACATCCTCAAGAACACACACTGCACTATACACACACATCCTCAAGAACACACACTGCACTATACACACACATCCTCAAGAACACACACTGCACTATACACACACATCCTCAAGAACACATACTGTACTATACACACACATCCTCAAGAACACACACTGCACTACACACACACATCCTCAAGAACACACACTGTACTATACAAACACTGTACTATACACACACAAGCACACACAAGTGCACGTGCGCACACACACACACATATATATTCACACGCACACACACATACATTCGCACTGATACTAGACAGATACAGTGCCTTGCAAAAGTATTCATCCCCCTTGGCGTTTTTCCTATTTTGTTGCATTACAACCTGTAATTTAAATGGATTTTTATTTGGATTTCATGTAATGTACATACACAAAATAGTCCATATTGGTGAAGTGAAATGAAAAAAAGTATTTGTTTCAAGAAATTATAAAAAATTAATACCGGAAAAGTGGTGCGTGCATATGTATTCACCCCCTTTGCTATGAAGCCCCTAAATAAGATCTGGTGCAACCAATTACCTTCAGAAGTCACATAATTAGTTAAATAAAGTCCATCTGTGTGCAATCTAAGTGTCACATGATCTCAGTATATATACACCTGTTCTGAAAGGCCCCAGAGTCTGCAACACAACTAAGCAAGGGGCACCACCAAGCAAGCGGCACCATGAAGACCAAGGAGCTCTCCAAACAGGTCAGGGACAAAGTTGTGGAGAAGTACAGATCAGGGTTGGGTTATAAACACATTTCCGAAACTTTGAACATCCCACGGAGCACCATTAAATCCATTAATAAAAAATGGAAAGAATATGGCACCACAACAAACCTGCCAAGAGAGGGCCGCCTACCAAAACTCACGGACTAGGCAAGGAGGGCATTAATCAGAGAGGCAACAAAGAGACCAAAGATAACCCTGAAGGAGCTGCAAAGCTCCACAGTGGAGATTGGAGTATCTGTCTATAGGACCACTTTAAGCCGTACACTCCACAGAGCTGGGCTTTACGGAAGAGTGGCCAGAAAGAAACCATTGCTTAAAGATAAAAATAAGCAAACACGTTTGGTGTTCGTCAAAAGGCATGTGGGAGACTCCCCAAACATATGGAAGAAGGTACTCTGGTCAGATGAGACTAAAACTGAGCTTTTTGGCCATCAAGGAAAACGCTATGTCTGGCGAAAACCCAACACCTCTCATCACCCCGAGAACACCATCCCCACAGTGAAGCATGGTGGTGGCAGCGTTATGCTGTGGGGATGTTTTAATCGGCATGGACTGGGAAACTGGTCAGAATTGAAGAAATGATCTATGGCGCTAAATACAGGGAAATTCTTGAGGGAAACCTGTTTCAGTCTTACAGAGATTTGAGACTGGGACCGAGGTTCACCTTCCAGCAGGACAATGACCCTAAGCATACTGCTAAAGCAACACTGAAGTGGTTTAAGGGGAAACATTGAAATGTCTTGGAATGGCCTAGTCAAAGCCCAGACCTCAATCCAATTGAGAATCTGTGGTATGACTTAAAGATTGCTGTCCACCAGCGGAACCCATTCAACTTGAAGGAGCTTTAGCAGTTTTGCCTTGAAGAATGGGCAAAAATCCCAGTGGCTAGATGTGCCAAGCTTATAGAGACACACCCCAAGAGACTTGCAGCTGTAATTGCTGCAAAAGGTGGCTCTACAAAGTATTGACTTTGGGCAGGGTGAAAAGTTATGCACACTCAAGTTTTCTGTTTTTTTGTCTTATTTCTTGTTTGTTTCACAATAACAAATATTTTGCATCTTCAAAGTGGTAGGCATGTTGTGTAAATCAAATTATACAAACCCCCAAAAAATCAATTTTAATTCCAGGCTGTAAGGCAACAAAATCGGAAAAATGCCAAGGGGGGTGAATACTTTCGCAAGCCACTGTATGTCTGTCTTACCAGAGGGACGTGGTAGAGATATAGTGAACCATCTGAATGAAGGGAAGGGGGTCCGACGTGGCTCCACAACTATTACAGACACACTGAAAAAAATACAAATATATATATTATAAAGACATACAGAGACATTCTGTCCTCTTATCCACAAAGGGCCGGTATGGGTGCAGGAACACAACTGATGTGCATCCCCAGTCCTCAGGGGCCTGAGTGTCTGCTGGTCTTCTGTTCCGACACTTTTTGAACCATTTATGTCACTTTTGTAAATAGAATATCCCTATGAATGTGTTATGGAAGTGGTTTAATATATGAATGTCCCACCTGTTCGAACAGCGTCATGGCGAACTTCTGGTGTGGTATACAGTGTTCAGCTGTACAGATGTCCTCTCTGGTCTCGGCGCTGATGTGGAAATGGATACGCATCAGCAGGTTCTCCTGAAACACAAAAACACACACACAGAGTTACACAGATTGTATGTGTGTGTGTTTGTGTGTGTGTGTGTGTGTGTGTGTGTGTGTGTGTGCTCTAGTTAATGTGATTGTGGTAGCAGCATCTATATTTTATAAGACCTGCTGGATGTTCTGACTGAACACATTTACTACCAATCGATCAAATAGTACCTGTCTGACACACACGTATGCAGGCACAAACATACACACAGACACACACAAGGCGTGGAGGCGAGGAGAGGATCTAACTCCGCTGTGTAGGAGAGGGACACTGAAAAATAGCACCTATCCCTTTAGCTCTGTCTCTGTCCCCCCCTCCCCTCCTCCTCCCACTCTCTTCCTCTTCTCCCCTCCTCTGTCCGTTGACTGATCTCTCCATCTCTTATTAGCTTAAAAGCAATTATCTGTATCAATGTTTACACACTAGGATAAACACACACGACTCTTGTATAATCCTATAGAGAGGGACAGTGTGCTTAGCTAAATGGCTAATGCTAGCAGAGCTGGGCTGTGAGTCTTAATAGAGGCAGAATGACACAAAACAGACAGGAGTTAGATGGACAACCCTCCTCCTGCAGGATTTTGTTCCAGCCCTGCTCAAACACACCTTATTTAGCTAATCAAGTAAAATTAGATGTGTTAGGGCTGGAGTGAAAGCATGCACACCCAGTAGCTCTCCATGAGGAGGGTTGGCGTGTGTGTCTGCAGGCGTGCGTATGTGTGTGCAGGCGTGCGTGTGTGTTAGACTTACGAAGCATTCTGCTGCGTCGTCCATGATCCCCAGCTGGAAACGCTGTTCGTCCTGGAAGGTCTTGGCCAGCGCACTCCGCAACACGTCCGACGGTAACACACGCTCACTGCTGAACTGGAATTGGGCAAAGATACTCTATACACACACACACACACACACACTAAAACTGAACAAATTGCAGCTTTAACAGAGGAAAACATCCCATAATACAACTCCGTCCAAGTGGTTGCATCTTGGTTGGACGTCTACCATGGTGTGAGGATAGAGCAGTAGTATTACAACAGTACTACAACTATTACCTGTTCGCTCATTGTTTCACTATAGCCAAACTGGGATGCCCCTTTAAGGCTAGAGAGGTGTGTGTGAATGTGTGTGTGTGTGTGTGTGTGTGTGTGTGTGTGTGTGTGTGTGTGTGTGTGTGTGTGTGTGTGTGTGTGTGTGTGTGTGTGTGTGTGTGTGTCACGGTGGCTCTGCTGACTGCAGCAATGCGCCAAGGAGAGTAGAGGGGGACTATACACTACAGAGAGGGAGGGAGGGAAGGAGCGAGAAAGGAAGGAGGGGAGATATAGAGAGGGGGAGGAGGGAGGTGTGTGTGATTGAACTGAGGGGAAAGGGGGAGGAGGGAGGTGTGTGTGATTGAGCTGAGGGGAAAATTCCTAAGCATCACTCTACTACAGCAAGAGAGGACAGGAGCAATCGACACCACTACCACATTCATCTCTCCCTCCCGCGGTCACTCCCCCGCTATCTTCCTCTCTATGGCTGAATTTAGACCCAATTCTGATTTTTTTTCACTAATTGGTATTTTGACCAACCAGATCTGAAAAAGGTCTGTTGTGATTGGTCAAAAGACCAGTTAGTGGAAAAAAGATCAGAGTTGGGCTGCCTGTGTAAACACAGCCTCTCCCTTTCTCTCTCTCTCCTTCTCACTCCCACACTCTCCTACCGGTGCGGACGGAGGGCCAAGGGGTGGTGAACATTGTGTCCCAAGTTAGGGATGATAAAAAACCTGATGTCTAATCAGCAGACAGAATCTGTTCAACTCTAGCTTTTCTATAGCCTCACATATACACCAACCATACTTCTTCACCTACAAGCCAGTGTGCCTGCGTGCAAGTGTGTGTATGTGTGTGTGTGTGTGTATGTGTGTGTGTGTGTGTGTGTGTGTGTGTGTGTGTGTGTGTGTTCTGCTGTCTCAGCTCTTTCAGTCAGCCAATTAATTACAGAGGCTCAGGAGACACTAACAAATACACCACTATACACACACACACACACACACCCTGCCCGACACACACTTATAGACAAACATAGTACACACCGACAATACTACATTATACTATGCACACACTAACACTGCTACACTACACAATGTACTCAGACTGACACACAACCTAATACATTTCCCTACACACACCATCATTAGAATGCATTGCTATACACACCATACGAAACACACACTGTTATGTGTTCTGATACCCAGCATCAATAATACACCCACAGTATACTGTAGAACACACACACTTATACGCGCTAAATGCTACATAAGAGCTTAGGGACTAAACACACAGTAGATATAACCGACAAATCAAATCAAATGTTATTTGTCACATGCTTCGTAAACAACAGATGTAGACTAACAGTGAAATGCTTACGGGCCCTTCCCAACAACGCAGAGAGAAAAAAAGAGAGGAAAATAATAACATGAGGAATAAATACACGATGAGTAACAATAACTTGGCTATATACACGGGGTACCAATACCGAGTCGATATGCAGAGGTACGAGGTAATTGAGGTAGATATGTACATATAGGTAGGGATAAAGTGACTAGGCAACATGATAGATAATAAACAGTAACAGCAGCGTATGTGATGAGTCAAAAGAGTTAGTTTAATTCCAGGGTCCTTGGATTAGTGATGAGCTTGGAGGGCACTATGGTGTTGAATGCTGAGCTGTAGTTAATGAACAGCATTCTCACGTAGGTGTTCCTTTTGTCCAGATGGGAAAGTGCAGTGTGGAGCGCAATAGAGATTGCGTCATCTGTGGATCTGTTGGGGCGGTATGCGAGTTGGAGTGGGTCCAGGGTGTCTGGGATGATGGTGGTGATGTGAGCCATGACCAGCCTTTCAAATCATTTCATGGCTACAGATGTGAGTGCTACAGGGTGACAGTCATTTAGACTTGGCTTTTATGGGCACAGGGACTATGGTGGTCTGCTTGAAACATGTAGATATTACAGACTGGGTCAGGGAGAGGTTGAAAATGTCAGTTAAGACACTTGCCAGCTGGTCAGCGCATGCTCTGAGCTACATACAGTAGGAGCTACATTAGCAACGGTCATCAAAATTGTTAAAACGTTTTTAAAACAATTCTAAGAAACTAATTTTTTTTATCCATCAGGTATTGAATGAATTATAGCACATAAAACATTTTACTGGCACGGACAAATAATGAATGGAATCTAATGATTTTGGTGGGATTGCAGGTATTACATTTATTGTAAAATGTCCCTGTTTTTTTCTTAGAATGCACTCACATATAAATGTTCTAACGGAATCAGGTATTTCTTTAATTTATTTATTTTAAATAAAAATATATGTATTTGATTAACATAAAGGGGTGGAATAGGGCTGCAATAAAAAAAAAGGTCCTCTGTCTAGGCCTACTGGCACTCACCTGAGCTGTCTAAACTGCCTCATTAATTACTGTTGTTGTCACGTTCTGTTGCATAATTCAACAAGTGTGTCAATAGCAGTATACCCTCGGACTAAAAATCAATACGCTTGGCTCTAGATCACACCTATCTATACATACTATACTGTACATTGTTTGCAAGATCAGACATAATATCCCTATAGTCCACTATAATTCATTTTTGGAAGTTGCTTTCATTTAAGCGTGTCTAATTTGTAAACACTTCAACTGTATCAAATGATTACTTTTTTCAATTCCACCAAAAATGAACACACATCAAAATAATGTTATCTTTCTTCTCTTTCTTGAGATGTAAGTGTCGAGATGATGAGTTAAATCCCAGACGAAGATTTAGCGTTCTTATAGATGCAACGGAAAGACAATGTATTCCATTGAGCCCATTTCAGCCATTACCGGGGTGTGTCTGACAGGTCATTACAAACATTTCCGTGGTTGTAACGTTAACGGGAAAAAATGACAGGCAAAAGCAAGAGTATGAAAGAGTCGCAGGAGTTAAATGAAAGCAATCAATCCAGCGAGATCTAAATGACTGACAAGTGGATTTTGTACCCCTAAAACACAGGAAATATATGGCTGAAAAAGACAGATCCTCAGATGGGCGGGGCAGGCGCGTTGCTAGCTACATAGAGACTTCTACGGCGCTTGTAACGCCAAGGTAGTGGGTTCGATCCCCGGGACCACCCATACACAAAAAACAAAAAAATGTATGCACGCATGACTGTAAGTCGCTTTGGATAAAAGCGTCTGCTAAATGGCATATTATTATTATTATTATTATTACTTCACAGAGCTGTACCTACCTTGAGGGCACAGAAGATGCAAGAGTCTTCCATACACTTGTGAGTGGTCAGCTGCCGGAAACTTCTACGGAAGATATCCAGATGCCACAGAACCTAAGGAGAAAACAAATGCTTTATATATTTACATTTTATATATTGGATATATTTACATTTTTAAGAGGAGGCATGTAACCAAGAGGTCGGACCAGCAACCGAAGGGTTGACAGTTTGAATCCCAGGTCTGTTGGTAAACATTTGGTGGGATGCGAGTCGGGTATTGTGACAGCAAAAAGAGAATCATAAAAAGTCTTCAAATTAAGACATTCAACCTTATTCAAAAAGTGTAGGGGAAAGAAGGAGGAAGGTGACAGTGCATGCTGACGCTAGTGTATGCCCTCCTCCTCCCTCTTCCCTCCTCCATCCCTCCTTCATTTATTTATTTATGATTAATCGGCTTCCAGCTGTGAAACATCACTACAGCGGACAGAGAGAGGACATACTCTACCTCCATCCCTCCCTCTCTCTATTTACCCTCTCCTTCTCTCTCTCCTCCCTCACTCACTCACTGTCTAATTATCTCTGTCTCTCTCTCTCTCTTTCTGTCTATATCTTTCTCTTCCTTTCTTTCTTTTTTTATGTCCCTGTATCTCTCTCTCTCTCCCTCTCACTATCTCATCACCCAATCATTGCTCCCCAGGGACACAGAGTGAGATTTCACTGAGAATGACAGTCTAGCACAGCTATACACTGACCAGGTGAATCCAGGTGAACGCTATGATCCCTTATTGATGTCAATCAGTGTAGATCAAGGGGAGGAGACAGGTTAACAATGATTTTTAAGCCTTGAGACAATTGAGACATGGATTGTGTATGTGTGCCATTCAGAGGGTGAATGGGCAAGACACAATATTTAAGTGTTTTTGAACAGGGTATGGTAGGAGGTGCCAGACGCACCAGTTTGAGTGTCTCAAGAACTGCAATGCTGCTGGGTTTTTCACACTCAACAGTTTCCCGTGTGTATCAAGAATGGTCCACCACCCAAACAACATCCAGCCAACTTGACACAACTGTGGGAAGCATTGGAGTCAACATTGGCCAGCATCCCTGTGGAACGCTTTTGACAACTTGTAGTCCATGCCCCGATGAATTGACACTGTTCTGAGGACAAAAGGGGGTGCAACTCAATATTAGGAAGGTGTTCCTAATGTTTTGTACATATGTACACTACCAGTCAAAAGTTTGGACACACCTACTCATTCAAGGGTTTTTCTTTATTTTTGGCATTCTCTCAACCAGCTTCACCTGGAATGCTTTTCCAACTGTCTTGAAGGAGTTCCCACACATGTTGAGCACTTGTTGGCTGCTTTTCCTTCACTCTGCCGTCCGACTCATCCCAAACCATCTCAATTGGGTTGAGGTCGGGGGATTGTGGAGGCCAGGTCATCTGATGCACCACTCCATCACTCTCCTTCTTGGTCAAATAGCCCTTACACAGCCTGGAGGGGTGTTGGATCATTGTCCTGTTGAAAAACAAATGATAGTCCCACTAAGCCCAAACCAGATGGGATGGCGTATCGCTGCAGAATGCTGTTGTAGCCATGCAGAATTCTAAATTAATCACAGACAGTGTCACCAGCAAAGCACCCCCACACCATAACACCTCGTCCACCATGCTTTACGGTGGGAACTACACATGCGGATATCATCCGTTCACCCACACCGCGTCTCACAAAGACACGGCGGTTGGAACCAAAAATCTCCAATTCAGACTCCAGACCAAAGGACACATTTCCACCAGTGTTTCTTGGCCCAAGCAGGTCTCTTCTTATTATTGGTGTCCTTTAGTAGTGGTTTCTTTGCAGCAATTCGACCATGAAGGCCTGATTCACACAGTCCCCTCTGAACAGTTGATGTTGAGATGTGTCTGTTACTTGAACTCTGTGAAGCATTTCTTTGGGCTGCAATTTCTGAGGCTGGTAACTCTAATGAACTTATCCTCTGCAGCAGAGGTAACTCTGGTTCTTCCATTCCTGTGGTGGTCCTCATGAGAGCCAGTTTCATCATAGCGCTTGATGGTTTCTGTGACTGCACTTGAAGAAACGTTAAAAGTTCTTGAAATGTTCCGTTTTGACTGACCTTCATGTCTTAAAGTAATGATGGACTGTCGTTTCTCTTTGCTTATTTGAGCTGTTCTTGCCATAATATGGATTTGGTCTTTTACCAAACAGGGCTATCTTCTGTATACCCCCCCCCCCCTACCTTGTCACAACACAAGTGATTGGCTCAAATGCATTAAGAAGGAAAGAAATTCCACAAATTAACTTTTAAGAAGGCACACCTGTTAATTGAAATGCATTCCAGGTGACTACCTCATGAAGCTGGTTGAGAGAATGCCAAGAGTGTGCAAAGCTGTCATCAAGGCAAAGGGTGGCTATTTGAAGAATCTCAAATGTAAAAATATATTTTGATTAGTTTAACACTCTTTTGGTTACTACATGATTCCATATGTGTTATTTCATAGTGTTGATGTCTTCACTATTATTCTACAATGTAGAAAATAGTAAAAAATTAAGAAAAACCCTTGAATGAGTAGGTGTGTCCAAACTTTTTACTGGTACTACGTGTGTGTGTGTGTGTGTGTGTGTGTGTGTGTGTGTGTGTGTGTGTGTGTGTGTGTGTGTGTGTGTGTGTACCTGCAGGGCACTGTTTAGAAAGCAGCTGTTCTGTCCAGGTTCGTTGCTGAGTCCTTTACTCGGGGCAAAGGAGGCCATAGTCCGCGGGGTCGTGATCAGGCCCTGTAGACCTCCACCGGGACTTCCGCTGCCACCGCCCGACGCAAAGTAGTTCCTCTTCCACGACATCACTTCCTGCTGGGCGCTTCCATCACCACGGAAACACAGGGAGGGGGCGGGGCATGAGATGGAACAACATGTTCTAAGTTACTCCCATTAGAGAGAGAGCGGGATTGAGAGAGAAATAAAGAGAAGAGGTAAAAAGAGGGAGAGAGTGCTGTGGTCTCTTTCAGGTAAGTCTTGACTGGCAGGTGTCTGCAGTCCTTTACTTCTGCCGATATTCTGTCTCCTGATTCTTCTCTTCTCTCACTCTGCCTGCAAGAGACAAACCACACAACACAATCAACACAGAGGTAGCTAGATCTCTAATGAAACACACTCACAGCGTATAGGCCTATTACATCATCGCAACATTTTACCTCCACAAAACTGCACTGAAGTCTCCAAGGAATACCATAATACTCACAATATTGTAGCCTGAAAATGTTCCTGAAAGTTCGAGCATAGCACTGAGTATAGTACTGTATTGTACTGTAGACAGTTTTGTGTCAGACAGTAGAGTAGTGATAAGCTGTCTGTTATGTAAATATTAGGTCAGTTTTATCTGAGCCTTATTTTGGAGCAGTATTACTCAGTGTGTGTGTGTGTGTGAATGTCAGCGCACATGCCTGAATCGTTTGTGTGGGTACTGTCACTGTCACTGTCTGTGTCTGTGCGTTGTTGCTGCCACTGTGTGTGTGTGTGTTTTTGGTTTTACTATCCTTGTGGGGACCAGAAGTCCTCACAAGGATAGTAAAACAAGGAAAATTCGGACAAGTGGGGACATTTTGCCAGTCCCCACAAGGAAAAAATGCTATTTTAGGCTTAGGGGTTAGTTTTACGGTTAGGGTTATAACCAGAGTTAGGGGTTAGGGGTTAGGGGTTAGGGTTAGGTTTAGGTTTAGGGTTAGGTTTAGGGTTAGGGGTTTGGGGTTAAGGTTAAGGGTTAGGTTTAGGGTTACGGGTTAGGGGTTAGGAAAAATAGGATTTTGAAAGGAAATCAATTGTTTGTACCCCACAAGGATAGTAAAACAAACGCGTGTGTGTGTGTTGCGTAACAGACTGGGCAGTAGTGGAGCCGCAGTGCCCTCCCTCCCCTCGTTGCCGTGCTGCCATAGCGACCCCTTGGCGACGGGCCAGAGGGCACAGCGATGCTGCGGTGTACGGGTGGTGGTGTGTGTGTGTGTGTGTGTGTGTGTGTAAGATGGCGTGGGCTGTTTCTATAGCGATGGCTACAGCAGGACACAGTCATGGGCATTAAAAGAGACACAGTGTGTACCCTCTGGACAGTCACTTTGCTGTACTTAGTATACGGTTAATAACAACACTACATCATCGACAGGACATAAACACCTAACCAATGTTTGTCTATGTTGATTGGAGCAAGTAGCATATGACTATGCTACTCTAATTATACTGTATTATTTTAGGTGAGAATGAGAGAGGAACGGGGGGGGGGGGGGGGGGGGGGGGGGGGGGGGGGGTCAAAATAGGGAAATGTAGAGACAAACAGAGGGAGGGGGGAGAGAGAAATCCTCTCTTACATAACCCCTCCCCCCTGGTCACCATGGGAAGCACGGCCTGCTGTAAACAACCCTCCAATCAACAGCCTGCTCACGACGTCCTGATCCCACAGCACTGGGCGGCCTAAAACACACACACACACACACACACACACACACACACACAGAGAGAGCGAGAGAGAGAGAGAGAGAGAGAAAGAAAAAAAGAGAGAGAGAGAGAGAGAGAGACAAACTAGAGATGGATTCATACTGGATTTGTGTGACGTTCATGTCCCCATTGACATTTTCCTCAAAAGAACAACAACATCCAGTACTGAACTGATGTGATCTTGTGTGTGTGCGTATGTCTGTGTGTGTGAGTGTGTGTGTGGTAATTTTCTCGGCTAGTTACCATGGAAATAGGCCAAGCTGCAGGCACGTGGGGGAAAAGCCGAACCATGTGCTTTAGCACACTGTAGTCTGCACTGGTCCAATGCACACACACACACACACACACACACACGGCCAGAGCCTGAACCTAGCGGTGATGGTGGTGATGTGTATTGACGGTTGAGAGTTCCTGGCAGCCAGGGTGAGTTAGAGTAGTACTAATATTCAATCAAACTCTAAGACCCTGTGGTTCAACACCATCAACACGCAATGCCCTACTCTACTCCACCCATATCGGTCACTACACCATTGATGTGTTCCAGTTCTCCCCCTCTCCCTCCTCTCACTGTAGTAGTTGATAGAGGCTGGTGACACCACAGCCCAGCACAGTGAAAGACAATCTACTGTCCACACACACAATGGCCTCCCTTATAGCTGGCTGCACCACACACACACACACACACACAACCACCAACAACAACAACAACCAAGACAACAACAACAACCGATGGTCACTCAGGCGGATCACTAGAGTAACACATAACACTAATTAGCTACTGAGAGTCGCATTGTATTGTAAAGTCTTAAAGCCTGTCTCTTTTATATCCCCCTTTCCTGCCCTCCCTCTCTCTCTGGCTCTCCTCCCATACTGCTTTCAGGCCGGGATTCAATCCAATCAGCGCTAGATCCCTGTTACAGCTCCCTTGACATTTAAAGGTAATTTCTGATTGAGCCGACATATGAAGTGTTTAGCGTGAATGCGGTCTCCGCGAACGCGGAACATTGGCTTTAAAAGGTGCATAGTCAAGTGCTAAACATATCAAACAAAATGCACGGAGCCTGATCCAAGTCTAAATGTCTTCCTGTTTAAAATAATAATTTACATTTGTTTACATTTTCTAACATTACCATTACCTTAATTTCTGAGTTTCTCTCAGGAAGAATGTATTCAACCAAAATGTGTCTTATGCATTTAACCCAAACCCTCTGAATCAGAGCGATGCGGGGGACTGTCTTAAGCGAGGTCCACAGCGCCCAGGAGTAGTTTTTGGGGGTTAACTGCCTTGCTCAATAGCAGAACAGCAGCTTTTTCCTCCTTGCCAGCTCAGGGATTCAAACTAGCAACCTTGTAGAATAATAGTGAAGACATCAAAACTATGAAATAACACATATGGAATCATGTAGTAACCAAAAAGTGTTAAACAAATTAAAATATATTTTAAATTTGACATTCTTCAAATAGCCACCCTTTGCCTTGATGACAGCTTTGCACACTCTTGGCATTCTCTCAACCAGCTTCATGAGGTAGTCACTTGGAATGCATTTCAATTAACAGGTGTGCCTTCTTAAAAGTTCATTTGTGGAATTTCTTTCCTTCTTAATGCGTTTGAGCCAATCACTTGTGTTGTTACAAGGTAGGTAGAATATAGCCCTGTTTGGTAAAAGACCAAGCCCATATTATGGCAAGAACAGCTCAAATAAGCTAAGAGAAACAACAGTCCATCATTACTTTAAGACATGAAGGTCAGTCAATACTGAACATTTCAAGAACTTTGAAAGTTTCTTCAAGTGCAGTCTCAAAAACCATCAATCGCCATGATGAAACTGGCTATCTTGAGGACCGCCACAGGAATGGAAGACCCAGAGTTACCTCTGCTGCAGAGGTTAAGTTCATTAGAGTTACCAGCCTCAGAAATTGCAGCCCAAATAAATGCTTCACAGAGTTCAAGTAACAGATACATCTCAACATCAACTGTTCAGAGGAGACTGTGTGAATCAGGCCTTCATGGTCGAATTGCTGCAAAGAAACCACTACTAAAGGACACCAATAAGAAGAAGAGACTTGCTTGGGCCAAGAAACACGAACAATGGACATTAGACAGGTGGAAATGTGTCCTTTGGTCTGGAGTCCAAATGTGAGATTTTTGGTTCCAACCGCTGTGTCTTTGTGAGACGCGGTGTGGGTGAACGGATTATCTCCGCATGTGTAGTTCCCACCGTAAAGCATGGAGGAGGAGGTGTTATGGTGTGGGGGTGTGGGGGTGCTTTGCTGGTGACACTGTCTGTGATTTATTTAGAATTCAAGGCACACTTAACCAGCATGGCTACCACAGAATTCTGCAGCGATACCCCATCCCATCTGGTTTGGGCTTAGTGGGACTGTCATTTGTTTTTCAACAGGACAATGACCCAACACACCTCCAGGCTGTGTAAGGGCAATTTTACCAAGATGGAGAGTGATGGAGTGCTGCATTAGATGACCTGGCCTCCACAATCCCCCGACCTCAACCAAATTGAGATGGTCTGGGTTGAGTTGGACCGCAGAGTGAAGGAAAAGCAGCCAACAAGTGCTCAGCATATGTGGGAACTCCTTCAAGACTGTTGGAAAAGCATTCCAGGTGAAGCTGGTTGAGAGAATGCCAAGAGTTTGCAAAGCTGTCATCAAGGCAAAGGGTGGCTATTTGAAGAATCTCAAATATAAAATATATGTTGATTTGTTTAACACTTTTTTGGTTACTACATGATTCCATATGTGTTATTTCACAGTTTTGATGTCTTCACTATTATTCTACAATGTACAAAATAGTACAAATAAAGAAAAACCCTTGAATGAGTAGGTGTTCTAAAACTTTTGACCAGTAGTGTATATATATATATATATAAAATTAAAAACATAAATAATAATATTATTAATATTACTAACAACAGATTAAACGACTTTTGGCCAAGGGATCCGTGGAATAAGTTTAAAGTGAGTAATACAATACAATACAATTTAATATAAACATCTACAATTCTTAACCCTGGGCAACATGGGCCTGGGAGGCTTACAGGGATATTGGTATACACAGTACTACACCAATTATACATTTTTCAACTCAACACTATTCCCCAAAATGTATTTAAAACTGCAAAGTGTTCTCTCTGCCTTATGGTAAAATGTGTAGAATTGCAGGATATTACACTACATGGCCAAAAGTTAATATGGAGTTGGTCCCCCCATTTGCTGCTATAACAGCCTCCACTCTTCTAGGAAGGCTTTCCACTAGATGTTGGAAAATTACTGCGGGGACTTGCTTTTATTCAGCCACAAGAGCATTACTGAGGTCGGGCATTGATGTTGGGCGATTAGGCCTGGCTCGCAGTCAGCGTTCCAATTCATCCCATGGGGATGAGGTCAGGGCTCTGTGCAGGCCAGTCAAGTTCTTCCACACCGATCTCGACAAACCATTTCTGCATGCACCTCGCTTTGTGCACGGGGGCATTGTCATGCTGAAAAAGCAAAGGGCCTTCCCCAAACTGTTGCCACAAAGTTGGAAGCATAGAATCGTCTTGAATGTCATTGTATGCTGTAGCGTTAAGATTTCCCTTCACTGGAACTAAGGGGCCTGAACCATGAAAAATAGCCCCAGACCATTATTCCTCCTCCACCAAACTTTACAGGCAGGTAGAGTTCTCCTGGCATCTGCCAAACCCAGATGCATCCGTCAGACTGCCAGATGGTGAAGCGTGATTCATCACCCCAGAGAACGCGTTTCCACTGCTCCAGAGTCCAATGGCGGCGAGCTTTACACCACTCCGACGCTTGGCATTGTGCATGGTGATCTTAGACTTGTGTGCGGCTGCTCGGCCATGGAAACCCATTTCATGAAGCTCTCGACAAACAGTTATTGTGCTGACGTTGCTACCAGAGGCAGTTTGGAACTCGGTAGTGAGTGTTGCAACCGAGGACAGGCGATTTTTACGCGTACTTCAGCACTCAACGGTCCCGTTCTGTGAGCTTGTGTGGCCTACCACTTCGCGGCTGAGCCGTTGTTGCTAGTAGATGTTTCCACTTCACAATAACAGCACTTACAGTTGACCGGGGCAACTCTAGCAGGGCAGAAATTTGACGAACTGACTTGTTGGAAAGGTGCCATTCTATGACGGTGCCACGTTGAAAGTCACTGAGCTCTTCAGTACAGGCCATTCTACTGCCAATGTTTGTCTATGGAGATTGCATGGCTGTGTGTTCGATTTAATACACCTGTCAGCAACGGGTGTGGCTGAAATAGCCGAATCCACTAATTTGAACGGGTGTCCACATACTTTTGTATATATAGTGTATCTTTAAAGTTGCAACAACAACAAAACATCTCTCTGCCCCATGAAAAAATGTGTAGAATTGCAGGAAATTGGCTTGAAAACTGCAACATTTTCTCTCCAATGCCAAGAGACTTGAGGCATGTTCCTCTGCCCAGGCGTTGCTGATACCTGCCAGATCTTACAACAAAGGTATTTTAAGTATCAGCTAACAACATCATATGTTATAGCAATATGTCAGTCGATGACACAGTCGATGATGTGGCACGCAACCATTGGTTTATGCACGTAACGTCTAAACAGGGGAACGTGACCATGGTTTGTCCAGCCATGCACTGCAGACATCATAGTAAAACAAATGTTAGGCTATTTCTATTGCACTTGAGTTGTGTTCTAATTATGAGGGGGTCCCTGATGAATTTGCTATCACAAAAGGGGTCCCTAACCCCAAAACGTTTGACAATCCCTGGTCTAGGCCACAAGCCAGTGTTTGCTTTTGGTGAAACTACTTTATTTATTTATTTTCAAGATTTTAGCATTTTGCTCTTTGGAGCCCTACAAGAAAATAAAATAACTAAAATTGGATTCCCGGTGCCCTGACTCCTAGGTCTCTTTCTTCCACTCCGCTCCGCTGAAATCCTTTATTCTCTCTCATTCACATACTTTTTCTCTCACACATTCTGACCTCTATTCTCCATTCTCATCAATTCCTTCATCCATCTTTGTCTCTCTCTCTCCCTTTCCTTAAGTCTCCCTATCTCAAGTCTCTCCGCACTGACACACACACACGCATGCGCTGTAACTGGGTTATAGCTTCAAATAGCACTGGTTGACAATGGGGAGAAACCAGAGTTAATTCTCCCCACTCTCTCGCTCTTTCTCTCGCTCTTTCTCTCTCTTTTTCCCTCACCCTCTCGTTCTCTCTTTCTTCAGTAATTCTCTGAGATTTGCTGGCTAGGATACGTTCTCTCTCTTTCTCTCTCTCAGTAATTCTCTAGAACCAGTCAGCAGCCAGCCCCTCTCAGAAGTTCTATTCAGACATAACATATGGAACACTACATTTTAGGACATTTCATTTATAGATCAATATCATTCCCCCTCTATAAGCCAGGTAAGGCTAAATACCATTATTTTCTATAATTATATTTTAATTCATATCCACGCACACACAGCTTCAGAGTGGAATCACAATTAGGACAATTCCTAGGGATTCAGACTTGCTCACAAAGAGAGTTAGGCCAACATTAAACTGCCTCTCAGGACATCCCATACTCTCACTATGAGTAGTAATTCTATTGACTCTGGAAATGCATTGAACTGTTATTGGTCAAAATAGCCTATGCAGGAGTCACAAACATGGTGTGTGCGTGCATGTGTGTCGTGACTCGTGTGTGTGTATATACATATGCATGTGCATGTGTGAGTAGAAGAGTAATCTAAGACTAAAACACACCCTCAAGGTCATTCCCCCAGTTTATCCACTGTGTACATTACTCTATCTTATAAAAACACACACACGCATCACACCTGACTCACACACACTTACAGTGTAAATGCAATTTATCAATATTACCAGGCACGTGCACATGCACACAGACCTTCTATGAGGATGATAAAAAGGCTATGAATATGACAATATGTTAATATATTGTCTTACATAATGTAATTCAAACGCACACTAACCCTCACACGTTCTACTATTCACAGATTAGGGGGGAGAGAGGGAGAGGGATAAAGAGGGTCAGAGAGAGAGAGAGAGAGATATAGAGAGAGAGAGAGATGAGAGAGAGATGAGAGAGAGAGATAGAGATGAGAGGGGGGGGGGTGAGGGAAAAAGTGGAAAGATAGCGTGAATGAAAAAGTAGACACCTCTTCTCCTGTCCTCTCCCCTCCTCTCCCCATCTCCCCCTCTCCTCTCCTCCAGCAATAAACAACTGTCACAACAATAAGCCAAAACCAGCCTATTTAACTACAGTCTCCAAACCAAAGTGGAATTCCATCAGCTCTATCTGACCACATCTTTCTCTTCAACCCACTGTCTGTCTGCTAACTGCTACCACTCTGTTCTGCTGAGTGAGAGAGAGAGGAGAGAGAGAGAGGAGAAGCGGGAGAAGAGCGAGATAGAGAGAGGAGAGAGCTCAGATCATATAGAGAGATCGAGTATTATAGATAGAGATAGAGATCGATATAGAGAGAGAGGAGAGAGAGTAGAGAGCGAGAAGTTTCCATACAGATAGCCATGCTTGGTCCAGACCGCAGCAATGTGTCAGAACGTGCATTGTAAAGTGCTGTGTGTGTGTGTGCCTGTGTGTGTGTGTGTATGTGTGTGTTGTATGTGTGGTGCGCTGTGGTGGTGATGTGTGTGTGTGTGGATGTGTGTGTGTTTGTGGTGTGCGTGTGTGTGTGTGTGTGTGTGGTTTCGTGTCGTTTGTGTGTGTTTGTGTGTGTGTGTGTAGTGTTGGTGTGTGTGTGTGTGTGTGTGTGTGTGTGTGTGTGTGTGTTTGTTGTGTGTGTAGTGCTCGCCCTCCCGGGTTGTCCTCGGTGCTGGTATGAACAGTAACAGCCAATCTCATCTATCATAGAGACCAAACCGCAGCGGTAAATCAATACTGGGACTGATGACGCCGCGTAAGCCTGCTACCCGGGCTGCGGTTGGCTTTCTATCAACAAGTCACCGGGGCCGTTAACGGCTAACACAAACCAGCTGTAATAAAATATAATAGCCTAACGGAAAGGTTTATAGGCTAGGTCCAATAATCCGTTTAAAGCATTAGGTATCTATACAATATCTACCAACTCTGAAAGTGTCAATCTGGTCCTCAGAATCTCCGTTATAAAATGATGGTAATGATGCACAAAGCGGCACTCGTGGAGATGCTGATGCTGCCAGTGTGTGTGTGTGTGCCTCTGAGCTACCTGCGTAAGGTACATCCATTACAACCATCTGAACCATGCAGCGCTGCGTAATAAACACTGGAGAGATAGATAGATAGAGAGAGAGAGAGAGGAGAGAGAGAGAGAGAGAGAGAGAGAGAGAGAGAGAGAGAGAGAGAGAGAGAGAGAGAGAGAGAGAGAGAGAGAGAGAGAGAGAGAGAAAGAGAGAGAGCAAAACCTACGCACAGTAGATGAAAGCCGTTAGGTCACATCTGGCCGCGCGGAACCACGCACATCCTTTCGAACTGACTTTTCCGCGTGCGTTCTTTACTGGTGAATGAGTACCCCGTTGTCCCTGCCTTTATCTCTCGTAGATGGAGTTTAAAGTGTGCGTGCTCACCTCGGGTCCCGTTAGTGTCCCGTTCCAGTCTCGTGCTGTCCCGGTAAAAAGAAGAGGGAGAGGAGAGGGAGGAGAGGAGAGGCGCTCAATCCAACCTTCCATCAAGTGCTGCGGCCGCGGTACGCTGCTCTCGCGATAGCTGGCCCGTTTTCCCGAGCCCACTCACAGTCAGTGACGTCAGACTGTGGGACTGAACAGCTCCTTCCCGCCCTCTCCTGGTCAATGAGCTGAACTGCCTCGTTGATAATGTACCAATTACGTCATGGCAATACCTACTGTAGCAGAGCGGACCTTAATTCTAATGTGTTGAGGGGATATGATCAATTGAAAATAAGCAGAGCTCATCAGACAGGATTTCTGTACAGGGAAAGGTTTATTGGATAAATATAGAATTTAATAGAAACATCAGGTGTGTCTATAATGTCTACAGTATCTAGGCTACCTGTTCAACTGTCCAGGTTATTGTCTTATCAGCTTCATCACTTTCTTCTTCATCTTCATCATCACATCATTTTATCTACTTGGATTGTTATTTCTTGATTTCTTGTTTAGATCTTTGGGATTATTTGTGTATTTGCATTATACAGTATTTGCGAGACGTTCTACTTTACTGCTGGAGCTAGCAACAGAAGGATTTCCCTGCATCGGCCATAACACCTGCAAATCTGTGTACGCGACCAATAAACGTTGAATTGATTTGATTTGATCATCACCATTGTCTTCTGTCTCTTTTCTCTTCAGCCATTTATGTTTCATGCATATAAATCAAATCAAAATGTATTTGTCACATGCGGCGAATACAATATCAACATATGTGTGTGTGTCTACTCCAGTGTGTGTGTATCTAGTGTCTACATCAGTGTGTGTCTACAGTACCTCAGTGTGAGTGTGTGTGTGTGTGTGTGTCTATAGATCGTCCGTCTCTCCGTCGAAGGGCAGCATGTTGTCCAACTGCATGTGGATGTGTGAGTTGTCCTCCGGGTTGCACACCCAACCGATGGGGGTGCGGTTGAACGAGGGGCGGGACCTAATGTCCATCTGCAGGGAGGGAAGAGGCTCCGGCTCCACTGGGGCGAATACGATCTCGGGAGGCTCGAAGGTCATGTGGCCTCCCGCCTTCTCAGAGCCGCCATAGGGCAGGGCCGACCTGTCAATCAAATATTAATATCATAATGTACAAAATACATGTCTACATAGCAATAAATACATCAGCAGTAACCTGCTGAAGGTCTTGAATTTGTTTATTTCGAACGTTGTATATGTGTTTGTGTGTGTGCGTGCGTGCGTGCACGAGTGTGTGCATATGTGTGTTGGTGTGAATGCGTGTGTTACCTGTTGAAGCTCTTGAACTTGGGCATGTCGTGGGGAGTGTGTGGTCCAGCCATGCAGTGGTGCATGGTGGCGGTCAGAGACTCGTCTCCCCTCATGGCCCGTTCCCATGGAGACACATAAGTACGCACATACTGCTGCCTCCTCTTTTCTTTCTCCGCCTCCTTATCCAACACCTCCTCCTCTACTGTGGGGGAGATAAACATGACATCATCTTACTGTTTTCGTTTGTGTATATGTTTCCCTGGTGTTGATATCAGACCACGGTTCAGTACATATGAATGTCAAATAGTTTTACATACTTTAGGTGTGCTTGATTTATACTGAACAAAAATATAAACGCAACATGTAAAGGGTTGGTCCCATTTTTCATGAGCTGAAATAAAAGATCCCAAAAAATTTTCACATGCACAAAAAGCTTATTTCTCTCCAATTTTGGGCACAAATTTGTTTATGTAACCGGTGTGAAATGGCTAGCTAGTTAGCGGTGCGCGCTAGTAGTGTTTCAGTCGGTGACGTCACTCGCTCTGAGACCTTGAAGTAGTTGTTTCCCTTGCCGCGGCTTTTGAGGAGCGACGGGTAACGGTGCTTTGAGGGTGACTGTTATCAATGTGTGCAGAGGGTCGCCCAGTCATGTGAAATCCATAGATTAGGGCCTAATGAATTTATTTCAATTGACTGATTTCCTTCAATGAACTGTAAAATCTTTGAAATTGTTGAATGTTGCGTTTATATTTTTGTTCAGTATAGCTTGGTACAATGGAACTAATGGAGAAGTCCTAAAAGTGCATAGTCCTACTGTGCTCAGGTTCAGGCTCGGGTGCTGGGGCCGTCATTTCACACCCCAAGGACGGAATCAGGTTCTGGAGATTCTGCTAGAGGAGGCAGGACACACACACACACAGCCAGATCAGCACACTCACATACACTTACACCCCCCCCCAACCCACCCACCCCACCCCACCCCCACTCCCCCACCATATTCTCGTTGGTGACGATGAAGCGTTCCACCCTCTGTTGTCTCATCCTGAACATCTTGGATCCCTTGTTGGTCATAAGAGACAATTCCTCCAGCATGGTATCTTTAGGAGTCTTGATCTTAGTGCCCAGATCAAACTCTGATGCCTCAGGGTCCGACTCTTCATCTGTAGAAGGGGGAAACACAATGTCAGGCATTGAATGAGATGACATGTACTCTAATTTACATATCCCTGATTGCATTGATTCCAATGTTAAGTTTACACAGCATCGCAGTTCCCCCTTTCCTATGTAAAGTGATTTGAGCACTGGAAACGGGCTATATTAATCCAATCAATTATCAATCAATATTATCTTCCCAGCCCCATATCACCCCTTTCACCCCACATCCTCTAGTCTAAACTCCCAACTCCTAGGCACTGTAGATCTGAAAATGCAGATAGTTGCGAAGAACATGGCGAAAATTCCAACTAACCTATCTCAGAGCAAGGTGGGAAATATTTACCATTTACAGTATCTTGAGTGGTATCTTCACCTGAGAGTAGCTCGGCGCGAGCGCTATCGAGCTATAGAGGTATTGAGAGATCGAGCAAAGAGAGAGAGAGCGCTCTCTCAGCTAGTTCATCTCGACGTCTCTATCTCTCTCTCTCTGCTCTCTCTCTCTATCTAGATCTCTGTCTCTCTCTCTCTCTCTCTCTCTCTCTTCTTTCTCTCTCTCCCTCTCTCTTTTATCTCTTTCTCTCTCTCTGATAAAAGTGTCAAATGTAGTTTTACAGATGGCTGGCTGCTCTGCTCTCATCCCCATAAAACATTCTCATCATCAGCTACACACACTCTGATTTCACTCATAACACTGGAGGCCCAGCCACACAATAACACAACACCACACACACACACACACACACACACACCACACACACACACACACACACCACACTACACACACCACACACACACACACACACAACACACACACACACACACACACCACACACACACACACACACACCACACACACACACACACACACACACACACACACACACACACACACACACACACACACACACACACACACACACACACACACACAGTCACACAAAGTCACACACACATACACACACACACACACACAAAGCTGGGAGCTGGCAAAGCAATCCTGTGCTGAGAGCTGTAGCTTGTAGTACCTCGTAAGTCAGGACTGTGTGTGTGTGGTCTGTGTGTTTGTGTATGTGGGTGTGTGTGCCCGTGCATGCGTCATACCATCCTGGGTGATGTTGGTCAGATCAGTAATGATCTTGTTGGCCTTCTTCATCTTGTTAGGCGGGGCGGGAGTTGAGAGAGGCATACCTAGAGCCTGCACCAATCAGAAATACACAGTTAAAATCACCAGCCAATCACAGCGCGATCGGTGACATCCACCAATCCCAATCAGACTGATGATGATGATGATGATGATACATGACTGACCCGATATCAAGCCATGGTTGCTTTAACTGGACCGCTTTAGCCAACAGATCTAAAGCCTAGTCAATACCCGAACCAGCTCTGCCACACATAAAGCTAGCTACACACTACATAAGTGACTAGTGTTCACTGAATGTTTTGCCTGAGACCTGAAGACTTGTGTTAATGCCTAGCCTTCAGCTCAGCTGGTTTATGGTGGGTCATTTCCCCTCCTGTGTCACAATTAATGGCTGGATGGTTTGTCACTTCTGTCCATCTAATTGCTGGACCACAACACCATAAGGAAAGGTTTTAGGTGGGGTTTCTAGGGAGCCATTACTCTGAGGCTCTGGGCCTTTGAGCCCCTGGGCCTGTGGGTCTATATTCCATACTGTAGTTGGTGTAATTGGTTTAATCTGCAGTAATTGAAGCTCCTGCTGGAATCCAACACCCTGCAGCTATTATTACTACATGTTCCACAGCAGCTCTGCTGAGTGTCACTGTCACCACTCACACACACACACACACACACACACACACACACACACACACACACACACACACACACACACACACACACACAACACACACACACACACACACACACTCACACACACACACACACACACACACACACACACACACACACACACACACACACATACACACACACATACACACACACTTACACCTACACACATACACACACATACACACACACATACACATACACACACACACGCACACACAGGGCATTTCCATTGGGACAGAGTGATGCTGAGACTAAGATTTGTCACTTTAAAATAAATGTCAACCTAAAACCAATGATTGCAAAGTTAAACAAACCATACAACCTTATGCACTATTAAAAATGTCCACAGAATCATTTGACAAAAACAAATTTATTTGAAGAACAGTGCAGATGCAACGTTGGCTAACACAACGACGGTTTGTGCTGTTGGTGCCGTCATTCTGTTACCAAATTTTGCATCTGCACTGTCCAACAAGTAAATGTGTTTTTGTACAAATTTCTGTGGAAATTGTTAAAAGTAGTCCTTGCGCATAGAGTTGTATGGTTTGTTTAACTTTGCAATCATAGTTTTTTGTTTGACATACATTTTAAAGTGAAAAGTCTCAGCAACACTTTGTTACCGTAGAATTGCCAAACCCATAAGCATATACACACACCACACACACCACATACACACCACATACACACCACACACACACCACATACATACACACCCTGATCCCTTCACGGTCCGCTGGGCAGAGACAGGGAAAGCATGGCCGTAACTACGGATGAGGACACCGAGGTCTGGACCTCTGTAATATTTTCTAATAGAAATAAATAAATATGTGTATATATATATATAATTGATTGTCTATATTGTACACAATAAAGACAATCAATATCTAAATATTGCTCCCACTAAGGTGGGAGAATGTCAGGCTTATGGAGTTTCTGCTGGGTTAGCGTTGGGAAAGGACCACCAACTTCAGGAGAACATGAGGCTGAAGGTCTGGTTACCCCAAGCAGAATGGCTCCTGTCCCCTCACTATTCCTGTTTCAGCTGCAGATAAATCTCCCCGGAGGACAGCAAACATAATCAGTCAGCACATTCCCATACACACTCATCCCAATTCTCGAAACACTCCGCTCCTCCTCTAGAACTGTCCAGATAATGTTTATTTTTATAGACACTTTTATTCAGAGCTATTTACAGGAGCAATTAGGGTTACATAGACAGATTTTTCACCTAGTCAGCTGGGGATTCGAACCAGCAACCTTTCGGTTACTGGTCCAATGCTCTTAACCGCAAGGCTACCTGCTGCCCGTAACACCTCTATTCCTAACCCACTCCAGCTTGATGGACATGTTATGGGAATGGTTTCAGAACAAGAAGGCCAAGAACATAGTTTGCATTCGCTGACCATGTAGTCAATTCAAATTAGTACCCGATGATTTGACACGGGCTGTCAAAGGTGTATCGAGTAAGTGTTGAAGAGTTTATCAGTCTGCCAGCATTGCATAATCCATACAGCTACTAGCCAATGTGAGTTGATATGATGCCATTGATACATTTATTCATTCATTCATGCTGTGATACACATGATATGCTGTCATAGGGGGAATGACACATGATTCACACTGACAGGGACTTCTCCGCCTGGCACAGCACAGCCTAGCACAGTGCAGGCTCTGCAAGGCATAAACCCATGTTGAATCAACTCTATAACTGGTATATAGCTCAAGTCACTCCCTATCTGGTAGCTTGTCCCTACCTTGGTGACATTTAGACCTACATCAGTCCTGCATCATTTCAGTATTATCACAACAAGATAACCCACAGACATGTACTGCTTGTGTGTGTGAAAGACTGTGTGCGTGTGGGATTGTGTGGGCAGTGATGTCACAAACTCAGACTTACCTCAGTAGAATCCTCAGGAATTAGAGAAGAAGAAAAGAAGGAGAAGAGTTGAAAGTATTCTAGAGAGTGTCCAAGTGCCTGCCCTCCTCTACACCCAAGAGGGAGTGAAACCCTATCCCAGTAAGGAGCTGGGCTATGGGTGGGTGGGTGGGGGGCTAGGAGCTTCTTAAGGGTCTACGAGGAGACTGATACTATCTCTCAGATGCTCCTGAGGTCTATGTATAGACCAGGAGAGAGTATATATACATAATATGACATTTGAAATGTCTTTATTCTTTTGAAACTTCTGATTGTAATGTTTACTGTTAATATTTATTGTTTATTTCACTTTTGTTTACTATCTACTTCACTTGCTTTGGCAATGTTAACACACGTTTCCCATGCCAATAAAGCCCTTAAATTGAAATTGAATTGAATTGAATTGAATTGAGAGAGAGAGAGAGAGAGAGAGAGAGAGAGAGAGAGAGAGAGAGAGAGAGAAACGCTCTGTCAATAGAGGCAGAGACTCTGGAGGATTGATCATTTGGTACAAATCCAATCTACAAAATCTAATTGATCCCCTCAAAATTGGTAAATATCACACTTGGTTAAAACGGAAAAAATTACTTGTACTAACAGCAGAATATGTGTTCCTTTGCTCAATATATATCCCCCCCTCAGAATCCCCCATATTACTCAGAGGAGATATTCCCCAGCCTTGAGGAAGAGACGTGCCATTTCCAGGCCCAAGGAAATGTGCTCATCTGTGGGGACACAAATGCGCGCACAGGAACACTATCTGATCTAACGACCACATGAGGGGACAGCTTTATTACAGGCCATACTGTTTCCAACTGTGTTAATCTCCCCCATAGAAACAACAGTGACAGCACCATCAACCAAAACGGAAGGGATCTGTTGCAGCTCTGTCGAAGCCTGGATTTGTACTTTGTCAATGGTAGGTTACGGGGGGACTTTAGGGAGATTCACCTATTGCTCACCTCTTGGCCACAGCACAGTAGACTATATGATTACAGACATTGACCCTTTCTCTCTCAGCTCATTCACTGTCAAGCCACTAACACATATGTCTGATCACAGCCAAATGATGTTGTTCGTCAAAAGAACAGACATGGAAACAACCACACATTCACAGCCCAGTAAGCTGTACAACATCATAAATTCATACAGATGGGCCCAAAACAGCACAGAAAAATACCAGAAAGCAACCAGTAACTAAAATATCCAAACACTCTTAGATAACTTTCTGGATACCACATTCACTCACAATAAAGAAGGCATCAATCTAGCAGTAAAAAAATATCAACTATATATTCAGGCAAACGGCAAAAGAAGCACAACTGAAATTGATAAAAAATATTTAAAAAAGACCACAGATGACAACTGGTTTGATGCAGATTATAAAATGATAAGGAAAAAACTTAGAACACTATCAAACCAAAAGCACAGAGACCCAAATAATGGTGAATTACTTTTAAACTCTATAAACGTACACTCAGAACCAAAAAAGCACAGTACAACAGCAAGCAGCTGACACTAATTGAGGACTCCAGAAACACAAACAACTTCTGTCAGAATTTGAGAAAAAAAACTAAACTAAATCAAAACAAGAGGAATTAGCGATAAAAAATGGTGACATATGGACAACCCATTTCAAAACACTCTGCAACACCGTTCAAATTGACACAAGCGCAGAACAATGCCAAATTTATGAGAAGTTGAATGGATTAGAAAAAGCAATAAAGGACAATCAAAATCCATTGGACTCCCCAATTACTGACCAGGAGCTCTATAAGAAACATCAGGCCCTCAAATTTAAAAAAGCATGCGGACCTGATGGCATCCTAAATAAGATGCTCAAATTCACTAGTGCAAAATGTCAATTGGCTATATTAAAACGGTTTAATTTGATCCTGAGTGTAGGTTATTTCCCTGACATCTGGAATGAAGGACTCATAACCCCAATCTTTAAGAACGGAGACATATTTGACCCTAACAATTATAGAGGGATTTGTGTGACCAGTAACCTGGGGAAGGTTCTCTGTAGTATTATAAATGTAAGAGTTCTAAACTTCCTTAATAAGCACAATGTCTTGAGTAAAAGCCAAATTGGATTTATACCAAAACATCACACAACCGATAATTTTTACACCCTACAAACCCTGATAGATAAACATGTCCACCAAAATAATACCAAAATGTACGCTTGCTTTATCGACTTCCAAAAAGCATTTGATTCTATTTGGCATACAGGACTGTTCTACAAAGTGGTGTATGGGGTAAAACATAATTAAATCAATGTATACTGGCAATGTGTGCAGCGTTAAAACTGGCAAGAAAATAACAGAATTCTTTAACCAGGGGCGGGGCCCTCGCCAGGGTTGCAATCTGAACCCTGCACTCTTCAATATTTACAACAACGAATTGGCCACTATTCTAGAAAAATCCCAAGCCCCTGGTGTTAGTCTCCACAATTTAGAGGTTAAACGCCTGCTCTTCGCAGATGACCTATGCCTGCTGTCACACACAGCACATGGCCTACAGCAGAGCCTGGACCTGCTAGAGCAGTACTGCCAGACCTGGGCCCAGGCAGTAAACCCCAAAAATAATAAAATAATTATTTTCCAGAGAAGATCCAGATCTCAGGGAAATAGACCAAAGTTCTCAATTGGTACAACATATATAGAGTACTGCACACACTACAATTACTTAGGTTTAAAAATAAGCTCAACTGGACACCTTAATGATGCAGTGAATTAACTGAGAGAGAAAGCACGCAGGGCATTCTACGCCATCAAAAAACAAATTCAAATTGAAATACCTATTCAAATTTGGCTAAAACTAATTGAATGTGTCATTGAACCAATTGCACTTTATGGCAGCGAGGTGTGGGTTCCACTTGCAAAACAAGATTTCACCAAATGGGACAAACACCCCATTGAAACTCTGCATGCAGAGTTCTGTAAGATTCTCCTACATGTCCAGAGGAAAACTACAAACACTGCATGCAGGGCAGAATTAGGCCAATATCCACTAATAATAAAAACTCAAAAAAGAGCAATTAAGTTTTGGAAACATCTAAAATACAGTGACCCCCTATCATATCATTACCAAGCCCTGCAATGCCAAGAGCTGAGCAAAGAAAATAGTCCCCTCATCCAGCTGGTCCTGGGGCTGAGTTCACAAACCTGTTCTACTAACACACTGAAGCCTCAGGACCAGAGCATCCAATTAATCAGAATAAACCAAATTACAACACAGTCAAAACAAAACTATATTGCTTATTGGGAAACACAAGCACAAGCACAAAGTAAAATGCAGTGCTATCTGGCCCTAAATCGACAGTACACCGTGGCTAACTATTTGACCATGGTTACTGATCAAAACCTTAGAAAAACCTTGACAAAGTACAGGCTCAGTGAGCACAGCCTTGCCATTGAGAAGGGTAGACACAGGAAAACCTGGCTCCCTGTAGAGGAAAGGCTGTGCAACCACTGCAACACAGCAGAACCTGAGACAGAGCTGCATTTCCTTACAAAATGTCAAAAATATGAAACAATTAGAGAGTGTCATTTCCCCAAAGACGGTTTCAAAGACCTCTCTGATGAGAATAGGCTACCCGTCCAGTTGGGGGAGGACGCAGAGAGCTGTGGGTTGGCAGCGCACTACAAGTCTGCCTGCCATAAAGATTGAGGGACAGTGTCTGACCAGACCAAACCCAACCTGCACATGTCCTCTATATTGGTTTGGTTCAATGGTTATTTTGACCCCTTGGTTATTGTTTGGTTACTGGTTGTCCCAGTTGAACAATATTGATGATTAATTCTTGGTAATTTATGTTAACAGTGTAAGTATCTAAAAATAAAGCTTTGGACAATATGTACTATTGTTACATCATGCCAAGAAAGCAATTGAATTGAATTGAAATTGGAGAGAGAGAGAGAGAGAGAGAGAGAGAGAGAGAGGAGAGAAGAGAGAGATAGAGTAGAAGAGGGAAGAGAAGGCAGAGAGCGAGAGGAGGAGCTCTAGAGAGCGATATCTCAGCTCTCGCTCTCTCCATCTCCTTCTTCGCGCTCTGTCTCTATCTCTTGCGCCTCTCCTTTTGAGAGAGCTACTAGAGTGAGAGAGAGAGAGAGAGATTTTAAGGGGTGTGAGTGAAAAGGTAGGGAGGGAGGAATAATTGAATAGAGGGTAGAGAAAGATAATGACTTCCCCCTCTTCCCTCTGCTCCTTGTTTCTCACCATGGTGAAGTGTCCAGTCCACCCTTCAGACAGGATTTACACCTTTAGAGTAAACAGGTGTCTGTGTCCCCATATCAATCAGATCTCTGTTACACAACTGACCACCGTGAGAGAGGGAGGGAGAGAGACGGGAACATAGAGAGCGTAATTCTTCTGATGTCTTTACTCTAATAACATTGTAAAAATGAGTCAGTGTTTAGAGTCCAGCACTCGGCCCTCAACCAGATGACTGGAGATTAACATGACTAAAAATAGGAGGGGTGATAGTGATAGTTAGTGATAGTGATAGTTAGTGATAGTGATAGTTAGTGTACGAAGATGTGTGTGTGTGTGGTGTGTGTGTTAAAATAAAAAAGGGCCTAATGCCAAGGGAGCCAAAGGCCCCACAGGACTCAGTACAGTACCAGTTATCACCACAAGTGGATGAAGGTAGGGACTGTCCCAGATGCTCATAATATAACTCCTACCCAGTCTCTCTTACCCAGTCCTGCATATTGGAGGTGGCATGATGTTGCTGACATAGGTAGAGACAGACAGACAGCTGGAGAGTTTCACATCTAGTTTTATTTCTCTGAACTACAGAATAACATCTTAACAGCTCTCACATCAACAATCAGACAAATCATCACCACTACCTCCTACCTCCCGTCCCTTCCACCCCTCCCGTCCCTTCCTTATAACAATAAAGGGTGCACTTTATGAAGTGGGGGAAAAATCTAACAAACACATCCTGATGTACTACTGTGCAATACTCTGACACAATCATATGAAGCCAAAAAAAAGGTATATTTTATAATATTCATAATAAGAATATAATCACAATAATCATGACAATAATAATATGATATGAGCACTAAGAAGATAAGTACAATATAGTTATAATGCAGTCAGATCTCTATTTCAGATTCAGGCCTTTATGTGACCAACTGGGTTTTGAACCCGGGTCGTCTTCGCTCCATGAGACTGTGTTAGCCCGCTGAGCTAAAGTCACAATGGCAGCACACAGCAGGTATATAGTCCATCCTAGCCTTTTACAGATCAGCATATTACCTAACCGTTTGTCTCTTAGGGAGGACTCTTATTTTCTCTCCTCTCTATCTTTCCTCACTCTCTCCTTCCACAGGCTTGTCTTTAGCACATCCTCCATTTATCAGTTAATCATTAAACTTCATTCTTTATTTTCACCTTTATTCTGTCGTTCCCATCGCTTTAAAGAAGCTCCATTAAACTTCACATCATGTCCCATGTTCTCTCCCTATCCATGTCTCTCTCATTTTAGATCACTCTTTTCGTTTTGATTGTCATTAAATACTTATTTTACATGAATATATTTATACATATCAACTATATCAACTACGTGTATCAACTATACATCAAACAATATTTTTATGAGGAGAAACGGAGGTGGTCAAATGACCATAAGAAGAAAAATGATTAAATGTGTGGTGTGATCCAAGAGTTGCAATTGTGTCCAAACAAGAACTCAATAAAAGCATGTGAATGAATGTGATCAAGAAAACCCCTGCAATGGACAATACTAACATCTTCTTTGACATGACAAAGACCAAAACTTTGCAATTCACAACTAAATGTGGGGGTATTTATATTCCTGTCATTTTGTGCCAGTCCATGGTCTGTAATCTCAGTGCATGGTGGATCCGGGGCGCCAGACACTGGGTTGCAGACCCAGGTTAGAGGTGCTGAATCTCGGGCGAGGCACTCTGGAGGGCTGGGTGGAGGCAGGGCGAGGTGGGGTGTGGGCAAGAGGGCTGAGATCAGGGGCACTCTTAAACTGCCTGTTACCCTGTTGGAGGGCGTGGGGCTGGGAGGGGTAGGGGTGAGGGTTAGGGACATGGGCAGAGGAGAAGCTAGGGAGCTGAGGGAGGGGGGCGGTGGGGGCTGGAGGAGGAGAGCCCCACTGGGGCTGAGGCTGGTAGGGGGGGTTAGAGGGGGATTGGTAGCAGGAATTGGCTGTTGGCAGAGGGGAAATGACATCAGACCTCCACAGCGGTTCTCCCAGCGTGGTCGCTGACCGTGGGACGATGATCGTAGGGGAGGGGCCTATGGGAGGTGGTGTGGAGAAGCGCTTGACCTCATACACACGTGGCGTCTTGATTGGACCGCGGGAGCCGCCCATCATGCGCGGCTGCTGCTGATAGGCCTGTGCTTGCTGGGGAGTCCCGCCCCCGTAACTGAAGAGGGAGGAGTTTAACTGGTAGGGCTGGCGACTCATGAAGTCCAGAGCCTTGATACCTAGAGCCTTCTGACCCCCAGGGGCGGCTTTATGACCCGCTGGTCCCCCACCCTGCCCTGCTACCCGTGCCCTCTGACGCTGGGCCTGCAAGGGGCAGGAGGGGGAAAGGAGGGGGTTGTAGCTGATGGGGGGGGGGGCTCTGCAGCTGGAAGAGTATTTGAATTGAGAGGGGAGGGAGGGGGTGGGAGAGGGCTGGCGGGGTTGGCCGGGAGAGGGTTGGGGTGAGGAGGGGGTGCTCTCCACCACATAGCGATCCATCCTGCTCTGCCTACGGGCGAACAGCTGACCCCCCTTCCCCGCTAGCTGGGGTATCTGTGGAGGGCCCTGCGTTTTAGGGGCCACAGGAGGGGGTTTGGGGCCTCTCTGGGCCTGCATGAAGTTACAGGCCTCGGCCCCCAGCCTCAACCAGTCCTCTTCAGGGCCAGACTCACCTCCAGTCTCCCCACCTCCAACTCCTCCACTAGGCCCCATGGGGCTGGGGCCGGGACCGCGGCCTGGACCCATCCTGGTTGGTGCGTCCGGGTTTTGGAGCAATTCGAGCAGGGCCGGGTTGGGAGACACGTCCTTGTTCTCCACGGACGGACGGAACATGGGCTTCTTGTTGCTGCGACGACGCGCCTCCGCAAGGATGCCTGTTCTGGAGGCGGGGACGGCAATACGCTGCTCACGGGAGGACAGCGAATCAGAAGATGGGGGCTGGGCAGTGGAGGGAGTTGCTATGGCAGGGGTTGTCATAGCAACATAGGGGTTGAAGGTCAGGGGAGGAGGGGGTTGAGTCTGAGCAGGGGGGGGTGGGTGAGAGTAAGGTGTGGCATAAGAAGGAGAGAAGGGTTGATTATGAGAAGGAGGAGCAGAGAAGGGCTGGGCAGTCACAGCAGAGGATGGATATACTGGGGAGTGAGGAGGAGGGGAGAAAGGTTGAGGAGCAGTCAAGGAGCAGAAGTGTTGGGTGGGTTGAGGAGGATGATGAGGAAGAGAATAGGGGGCAGAAGAGAGAGAGGAGGCAGTATGGACAGAGGGAGGAGTGAAAGATTGAGAGGGAGTGCAGGTAGGAGAGAAGGGAGCTGAGGCCAGAGAGGAGGGAGGAGGTAGAACAGGAGGAGGAGAGAGGACAGAGGGAGGAGTGAAAGGTTGAGAGAAGGGAGCTGAGGCCAGAGAGGAGGGAGGAGATAAAACAGGAGGAGGAGAGAGGACAGAGGGAGGAGTGAAAGGTTGAGAGGGAGTGCAGGTAGGAGAGAAGGGAGCTGAGGCCAGAGAGGAGGGAGGAGGTAGAACAGGAGGAGGAGAGAGGACAGAGGGAGGAGGAGAGAGGATGGCTGCAGCAGGTCTAGGGGGGATGTAGAGAGAGGTACTGGAGACCGCTCTCCTTGCCTGCGGCCCCACTGAAGGGCGAGGAGGGGTAATGGTCACCATGGATACCGCAGCAATGGGTTTGGAAACCATTGTCACGGCAGGAATGGGCTGGACGGGTCGGAAGGTGATAGGGGTGGCTGGAGGGCGAGATGGGGCAAGGCCTGAGGTGAAGGGGCGTGCCGTGCGGTTATGGATCCCTCCAGGCGGGTTAGGGTTAGGGTTTAGGTCAGGCTGGAGGATAGGGGTGTGAGAGTGAGGGGTCAGAACCACACTGGCCCGACTCACCCCTACAGAACCCCGGTTGGACAAACCTGCGGCCGGAGAGGGGTTAGCGGCAGGGTTATAGGCGACATGGGTGGCCATTTTCCTTTGCTGCTCATACTGCTCCGTCTCTTTCCCCTGATAGGCTATGGAGTCCAGCCCTGGGCTCTGATAGGCCAGGGCATTCACCCCAGAGCCCTGATTGATTGACACATTAATCTCTGGGCTCTGATAAACTGAGGAATCCAACCCTGAGCTTTGATTGGTTGGTGTTTGGGGCCTTGAGTTATAGGTGGATGGGCAGGCGGAGCTCCTCCTATCCAGCAGGTCCAGGTATCCGCTGTCCCAGGTGGGGTCAAAGGTTCCAGCGAAGCCCTCTTCATCCACCTCTGAACCCGAGAGGAAGGAATTCCCCTCCTCCTCTCCCTCTGTCTCTCCCCCAGTCTCAGGACCCATCTCCCCCTCCACGCGGCCGAAACAGGTGAGGGTGTACTTCTTGGCACGCTGGCGTCTCTTCTTGAACATGAGAATTCCTTTAGAGTTGGAGTTCGGAGCGTCGGTGAGCAGGGACGCGATGGAACGACATTTAGTACGAGCCTCTTTCACCTGCTTCTCTACCACACTCTCTCCTCTCTGCAGCTCTGGGAGACAGGGGAAGGGATGGGAGGAGGGGGAGGAGGGGGAGAGAGAGTAAGAGAGAACAGAGGATTAAATACAGGGGTGTCAATTGGATATGGCAGTCGCCATACCATAGCTCAACACCAATAATTTAAAATAGGCTACTAAAATCATTCCAATCCCGATTAAAATGCAAATGCAGTTTAGTGGTATTTGTTTGTATGGCTGTCTGGCTTTATGGAGAGCAGAGATCTATAATTAATGACGAGATGCTCATGTCTCCGCCCTAACAATGGGAGATCATTGTCCCAAAGGCGAGAAGGCAGGCGACAAGCTTAGGTCAAAATAAGCCCATAGAGACAGATTTGGTTTATTTTGGACAGATTTTGTCGAGAGTGAAACCTCTTGTTTCGCTTCTTCCTCTCTGTGGAGAGCGCATCGACGCAGCTGCAGGGAACAGCTGGACTTTTTCTCAACACATTGCAGAGGTAAAGATGGCTTTGGTTAGGTAACTGCTGTTTGACTTAGCATGAAACTAAACTAGAGTTTTAATCCCGGTGCTGAGCTAGTGTGTGGAATGTTAAATCCCCTATTGACAGGTGAATGAACCAACAGCAACAAGGTGATCATGGTTGGAGTAAATTTTGCTTGTTTTTGCTGTTCTCCAAATTGCATTTTAGAGTTTGTACATTTTGTAGATATGCAGTACATGAGCTTCACTTTTTAAAGAAATCCCCCCGTCACTTTGCCATACCCAAGGTTCAGCTGAAATGATGCCCTTGATTAAATAAGTAACTGTAATGAATAAGAAAGGTCTGGTTAGAATTATGTCAGAATGACATCATAGCATCTGGAATGTCACTCAAATCCATGATGACACCATGATAGGTGACACCATCAACACGTTTGGGGGGTGGTTCAACCCTGACAGACAGGAGAGTGTGCTGGGAGGCTCAAAGCACTAAATTCCCCCCACTCCCCAGTTCAGCAGCGACCAGTTAGACTGTCTGTCAGTATCCACATCCCTGTCTGCAAGGGCGTAACTTTGTGCTACATATTTGGTGGTCAGGGTTAATGGGTTCTGGGGTCAACACCTTTCTAGGGGGGTCCAGGGACATTGCTGTGAAATGGTTGTTCCTGGTGAATTTTGAAGAGAAAATACAAAATATTACTGATAATTTGGTCAATATATCCAAATCACAACTGAAACACCAATAATTTCCGTATTACTTTTAAACTGTTGGTCTAACTCTAAGGTTGTGTTTACACAGTCTGCCCAATTCTGAATTTTTGCTAATAATTGGGAAAACTATAAGAATCAGTTCAGAGAGTCACCACCATCCCCCTTTAAATGCCATAACCCCTTATGCTTATTTGTGTACCCTTCACCATGCTTGGCATGTCATTTTGTTTGTAAAGCGACTGTGAGAAAGTCAGTTTTGGTAACTTTTCTACTCCAAAATGAATGTCTAGAAATGAGCCTAACAACATATTGGTCTATATTATCAGGCTGCTGTGTTATTTAGCAATAAGCATTATCATATGTAGCCCAACTGATGCAGCATAGAGCCTATAAATAAATAGGCTGAAGCATGGGGTTGCCCATCTGTGCTAATCATTAGCTAGATCAGTGCTTCCCAAACTTGCTCAGTCATTCCCCCCTTTCATCATGGGGGAACATCATTTTACATTTACATTTTAGTCATTTAGCAGATGCTCTTATCCAGAGCGACTTACAGTTAGCGAGTGCATACATTTTCATACTGGCCCCCCGTGGGAAACGAACCCACAACCCTGGCGTTGCAAGCACCATGCTCTACCAACTGAGCTACAGGGGACATCCTATGCACACCTGTCTGGGCACACACATGCGCATGCATACACACACACAGTCGATCAGGGTCTCCCGCTTCCTTCACCCACCTTACATACACCAAGGAATGTCCACACAACAACCTTGTGAAAGGTGTGTGTGTGTGTGTTGTTCTTGGTCGTCAAGAACAACTTGCTCATTACTCTTAGCTGTCATTCTTTACTGTTGACACCTCACGCCATGCAACCCCCCAACACACACAACCCTTTCCTCCAATCCCCACCAGTGTGTGTATGTGTGTGTGTGTGTTTGTGTGTATGTGTGTGTGTGTGTGTGTGTCATATGAGAAAGGACAGGTCTCTTGTCCCATCAGTCAACAGTCTGTCACTATTGTCTCTGTCCAAGATGTAACCTTGCCTGAAACCTGAGGACTTGCATTAGTGCCTCAAACTAATGCCTAGGCTTTAGCTCAGCAGGCTAAAACTGTGCTCAGGATCAAAATCAATGAGTCACAACCAGCTGCTTTAGTTCAGGGTGAGGTAGACAGGCGTGAGGGATTCATGTAGTCATCTAAGCAGGTCAGACATACAGTACGTACACTACCGGTCAGAGGTTTTAGAACAGCTACCCATTCAAGGGTTTTTCTTTATTTTTACTATTTTCTACATTGTAAAATAATAGTGAAGACATCAAAACTATGAAATAACACATATGGAATCATCAAGTGCAGTCGCAAAAACCATCAAGCGCTATAATGAAACTGGCTCTCATGAGGACCCCCACAGTAATGGAAGATCCAGAGTTACCTCTGCTGCAGAGGATAAGTTCATTAGAATTACCAGCCTCAGAAATTGCAGCCCAAATAAATGCTTCACAGAGTTCAAGTAACAGACACATCTCAACATCAACTGTTCAGAGGAGACTGTGTGAATCAGGCCTTCATTGTCGAATTGCTGCAAAGAAACCACTACTAATGGACACCAATAAGAAGAAGAGACTTGCTTGGGCCAAGAAACACGAGCAATGGACATTAGACCGGTGGAAATTTGTCCTTTGGTCTGGAGTCAAAATTTGAGATTTTTGGTTCCAACCACCGTGGCTTTGTGAGATGCGGTGTGGGTGAACGGATGATCTCTGCATGTGTACTTCCCACCATGAAGCATGGAAGAGGAGGTGTTATGGTGTGGGGGTGCTTTGCTGGTGACACTGTCTGTGATTTATTTAGAATTCAAGGCAAACTTAACCAGAATGTCTACCACAGCATTCTGCAGCGATACGCCATCAAATCTGGTTTGGGCTTAGTGGGACTATCTTTTGTTTTTCAACAGGACAATGACCCAACACACCTCCAGGCTGTGTAAGGGCTATTTGACCAAGAAGGAGAGTGACGGAGTGCTGCATCAGATGACCTGGCCTCCACAATCACTCGACCTCAACCCAACTGAGATGGTTTGGTATGAGTCAGACCGCAGAGTGAAGCAAAAGCAGCCAACAAGTGCTCAGCATATGTGGGAACTCCTTCAAGACTGTTGGAAAAGCATTCCAGGTGAAGCTGGTTGAGAGAATGCCAAGGCAAAGGGTGGCTATTTGAAGAATCTCAAATATAAAATACATTTTGATTTTTTGGTTACTACATGATTCCATATGTGTTATTTCATAGTTTTGATGTCTTCACTATTATTCTGCAATGTAGAAAATAGTACAAATAAAGAAAAACCCTTGAATGTGTAGGTGTTCTAAAACTTTTGACCGGTAATGTATGTCTAGCATCATGGGAAGAATGTTGTTTTTGATAAAGTGTCCTTGAAACCTTATTTACAGATTGAAATAAATAGGGTATATATAATTGATAATGTATGCTGCCCCCTCACCCATTGCATATTCAGCTGTGTGGATCACAAAATGTGAGGTCAGTTGTGTCCGTGTGTCCATTAAGGCTAGAGGGGAATGCTTGCTGCCCAACTATAAATACTCTGGATGAGACCAGGGCTTAGAATACTGACTGGAGAAACTAGAGGCAGGGGAGGGAGCAGAAATAGGAGATGATGCCTTTGATTCATAGGATAGACAGCAACTAGAAATATCTCTTCCTCTCTTCCTCCCCCCCTTCCTCTCTCTCTCTTTCTCTCTAATGCCCCCCCTCCTAGCTGACCACAAGGTGAGATGCTGAACTTACAGCAGAACAACACCAGAGGGAGTCCTATCACAGCTCAGACAGCTTTACTCCCACACACTCAGACAATCCACAGGCTTCGCAGAGACCGTTCAAAGCAGCTGAAGAGTTCATGTGTAGGCTGTAGTTTGTATAGTGTGTAGGGTATCTGGTATAGTGTACTCACTGGCTTGCCTGGCCTTGTCCTTGTACGTAGTAGCTAGATCATCACTGAGTGGGGTCAGCTGGGCACCCACCATGGGAACCATCTGTCGGCTGGAGCCCAGCATCATGGCTCCTTTAGCCCGCTCTGGAGACACCAGGGGTGAGCAGGCCAGACCCACACACACCCCTGCCTCCTGGAACCCACTGTCTCCCTCTCCCTCCGCCTCTCTTCCCCCTACCGGCTCGCCCTGCTCAGGGTGTGGGACGGGCTGGGCTGGGTGGGTCCACTCTGGCTGGGCCTGGGGGGGTTGGGGTTGGAAGACCACCTCCCTGCGTGGTACTCCAGGTTGAAACCCCCCTGTTCCCAATCCTGTTGGTTGCTCCCACTGTTGGATCACCCCGCTGCCCAATGTGGGTAGTTGCTCCCAGGGCCCCTGCAGGGAAACCCCTCCATCTGGAGCGCTCTCATACCTGGAGGAAGAGAGAGAGAGGGATTGACAGGTCAAGATGTCATAGTACAAACCAGGAAGCAAGGTTGGGGATGATTATTGTCTCGTACCCGCTCATCTCCGAGGTCTCCTCCTCCTCCTGCTGGCGACCTGGAGAGCGTGCATGCGGAGGTGTGCGTCGCTGACGGCGGTGTGTGTGTGTGTGTGTGTCCGCGTCACTGTCCGTCTCTCCATAGTAGGCCTCACTGTCAGGGGGGGAGGTGATGGTGAGGCAGGCCGGCCCGTCAGTGGGGGAGAGAACGGGGTGTGTGGGTGTGTATGTGTGTGTGGCTGTGTGTGTAGGTGTACGACCTGACAGAACCACAGAGTGGACCCCAGACCTAGACCTGGAGACAGAAAGAAAGGGGGAGAGATAGTCAGGCTGTGTGTGTATGTATGCATCTGCTTTGCTTATTCTATACTTGTATCGGTCTAGTGTATGTGTGTATTTGTTTGTATGCGTGTGTGTGTGCGTGCGTCCGTGTGTGTGCTCTGACCTCTTGATCCTGAGGTTGAGTGTGTGCCAGTGGGAGTCGATGAGGGTCATGGCCTGAGCGTGGCTGAGCTCGGCACACACATGGTCGCCGATGGCAACCAACTCATCCTCCTCCCTCAGGCCAGCCCTGCATGCCTTACTACGCCGTCGCACCTGCGACACACAACATACACAGCCTCAATCCAGCAGCATGGAATCACAGGGGGAGGGGGGGGGGGTCATAGAGCCCCTCCACCACTAGAGGCTGAACAACTCAGTTATGAGGTTATGGGGTATGAGGTCATCATCGCTTTGGGATATGGGGGGGGGGGGGCTGAAGGGTGGTACAATTTAGGCAATGATGTCATAAACCTATCTATAACTGAAAGGGGCTGGGGGGGTGGAAGCAGAGCTCTGTAGACATAGAGAGAGAGAGAAAGAGAGAGAGAGTGAGGGGGAGGATAAAGAGAAGGGGTGAAGAGAGGGGGAGAGAAAGGGGAAGAGAGGTGGAGAGAAATGGGGAGGATAGAGAGAGCCGGTTAAGAGAGATACAGGGGGAGAGAGAAAGAGAGAAGGAGGGTAAGAAAGAGAGGGAGAGAAAGAAAGAAAGAGCAGGTGACAGATGACAGATAGCAGAGACATGTCATGCTAAACAGCCGAACATCTAAAAGATAAGACTCTCAAACCAACCACACACAAGCACGGCTTGTTCTACAAATGTAGATCACCTGTCGAGTGCAGTTTCTTCACACAGAATCTGGTACTACACAGAACATCCAATAAGACACCCCCACCCCATTGACACACACACACACGCCCAGCCACTGTGGGAAAACACAGTGAGAGAGGGGGTATTAGACAGCTGCACCCCCCCTCCCCCCTTCCATCCACACATTGCAGGCCCTGGTCAGAGGGCATGCCTCACATTCACCATGTGTTCCCCATACACCCCAAAATAAACCCCAGCAGTAGAACCAGCCACATTCCTAGACGGACCCACAGAGCAGCTAACCAGGGATGTAGCCTTTTACACACTTTATATGGTGATTGATATTGACCCATAATGCCAAATTAGTCTGGTTAACATTAGCATTTACGTTACTCGCCGCCTTTCACATCTACTGGTCAACAACACCAGACAGTGTGTGTGTGAGTATGTGGAGGGCATACATGCCTCAGATAAGCCCAGCTGGGAGTAGAGAGGTCCGCAGGATCAGAATAGCTCATTTAAGAGGAGCTGGAGCAGGCCATGGAAAAAAAGGCCTGTCTCACACACACACATACACACACACACAACTACAGATAAAACTAGAGGTGACCTTGACTGGTAATGGTAATAGAACAGTTACTGATTAGCTGCTCATCAGGACCTTGTTTAGCTGAAAGTTGTGATGGAGCAAAAGCCTGCATTCCCTGTATCCCTCCATGAGGAGGGTTGGCCACCCCTGGTTCATAGAATAGAATAGAATTAAATAGAACCCAGTATCCTTGCAGAGTGAGGTCACAGCCCAGCTTTCCACTATATAATTTCTGATTAGATTAAATGCATTCTGCCCTGTCAACACCAACGTATCATGTGTGTGTGTTTCTGTGTGTCCACTTAGAGAGCATGCCCTCAATTCCTGTTCTCTTAGTGGTCTTATCGTGTCTTACTGGCATACTACACTGACAGACACAACATAATAGTTCCTATCACACACCATCTCAAACACACACACACACACATGAATACATAGAGATGAAACACACTTAAACACCAAGAAAGGTCATAGATCATGTGTCCATTAGGGTCAGCCCATGACCCACAGACCCTAAAACCCGATCACCATGACAACCAAACTGAACTCTGGATTTGAGGAAGGGTTACTCAGCCACAACTAAGTAATGATAATAATAATGCATTACAGAACTTGTCCAGCTGCTCAACGTGCTTTACATTACATGGGGAGAAGGGGTAACTTGCCGGCTTCTACCAATGTGTAGCACCCACCTGGCTGATGCCACGGCAGTCATTTTGTGCCAGAGGGTTCTGTTATCGTACCAGTAATGACCAGGCAGGCAGCACACAACATGGAGAGGGCATAACTCTAACGGCCTGAGACCACCATTTATATACAACAGCTGTTCCCTAGCCCTCTCCTGCAACTTTTACTCCATGATCTGCCCCTGTACGCCACTCTTTTCCACACATACACATACCAACCTGTCCCCACACCCCACCGTAACAGACACACAACCTGTTGTTCCACCTACCCCACTCTATCACGCACACAAGTCGTACCTTGGACACCTGTAGTGGTGTTTGATGCTCTACTCCTCCTTGCAGTCTGAAGCCCCATGGAGCCCCTCCTGAGAGAATGACCACCACCTCCTCTGCTACCATCACTACTCAGTAACACACACACACTAAATCACACTGCACACAGAGTGTATGTCTCTCTGGTTCTTCCGACTGCTTTGTGTATGTGCTGTCTCACTGGTCTGACATACTTCCTCTGTGACCCAGCCCACTCAACCCAGAGAGAGGGGGGTTGAGAGGGAAGATGGTAGAGAGAAGGAATGAGAGACTGAGAGATAGAGAGAGAGAGAGAGAGAGAGAGAGAGAGAGAGAGAGAGAGAGAGAGAGAGAGAGAGAGAGAGAGAGAGGAACTAGTTTCCGTCTGCTAACAGTGGAATGCTGTGTTGGCTGTCAGGGGGCCACAGGGGGTGAGAGGGTTTGTGTGTTTGTGTGTGTGTGTGTTTTATATCCACCACACGTGTCATGTCACTCTGCAGGATGCTGCTAGATCCTCCCAAAATAACCCCATGACCCTCTCACACATACCGGCCCGACCCCCAAACCAGCCCTGTCCAAGGCTTTGTCTCCAACTGCCCTGAGTGAAGAGAAGAGAGTGAAGTTAGAAGGGAGAGGAGAGGTGAGGGAGGGGGTGAGGGGTATTTTAAGAGCAGAACATAGGCCTACATATTGTGATCCACATTCCACATTCACAAAGTGAGCTAACACCAGCCTTTCATAGCAGGTCAGTGTTGCTAGGGGGAGATATTACACTGCTGTTATGATAACACCAGAGATGTGTGTCTAAAGCGATACCAGCTTTGGTAATAGAGTAGCCTACTGATCATATTTATTACCGTCAAGTCAGCAACCCGTAGCCACAGCTGGCTACACGTTTTTCGGATTTAAAAGCCTGCGGTAAAACGCTATGTGATTAACCAGGTTTCCATCCAAACTTTTTATGTGAGTAAATGCATGTCGATAAAAAAAATGTCATGACAGGCCAGGCCTGATGGAAACAGAAAAATGTTCGGTAAACTTTCCAAATGTCGACAAAAAAGCATATATTGATATAATAACAATCATATCGAAGTAAACTTGGAGTGACACAATGACATGTTGTGTGGTCCTCGCGCTACGACTCGTCAGGAAAGCATGCTGATTAGGCTACAGATGAAAAATACATTATGATGAACTTCACAGGGTGGTGAAAGTGCAAGGTGATGAGCTTGATGCTCCTTTCCAATAAATATCGAGGGTCTTATTCTGGCATTATTGTGATCATGTCATTTTCTCGGTCACCCATGCTATTTCAATAAGAAATTATTTGATTTTTCCATTTTGTTAGTGATGGCGAATTGATTGATTTCCACGTTTCTTCTTTTTTTTTTATCAAGATGAGAAGAGAATATTCCCCAATATGCCATGTCTTGAAATATGCAGAGAAACGGATTGAAAGTATACTGAACAAAAATATAAATGCAACATGCAACAATTTCTACGATTTCACTATGTTACAGTTCATATGAGGAAATCAGTCAATTGAAATAAATTAATTAGGCCCTAATCTGTGGATTTCACATGACTGGGAATACAGTCACAGATACCTTAAAAAGAAAGTAGGGGCATGGATCAGAAAACCAGTCAGTATCTGGTGTGACCACCATTTGCCTCATGCAGCGCCACACATCTCTTTCGCATAGAGTTGATCAGGCTGTTGATTGTGACCTGTGGAATGTTGTCCCACTCCTCTTCAATGGCTGTGCGAAGTTGCTGGATATTGACGGGAACTGGAACACGCTGTCGTACACGTCGATCCAGAGCATCCCAAACATGCCCAATGGGTGACATGTCTGGTGAGTATGCAGGCCATGGAAGAACTGGGACATTTTCAGCTTCCAGGAATTGTGTACAGATCCTCGCAACATGGGGCCGTGCATTATCATGCTGAAACATGAGGTGATGGCGGCAGATGAAGGGCACGACAATGGGCCTCAGGATCTCGTCACGGTATCTCTGTGCATTCAAACTGCCATCGATAAAATGCAATTGTGTTCGTTGTCTGTATGCCTGCCCCTACCATAACTCCACCGCCACCATATGGCACTTTGTTCACAACGCTGAAATCAGTAAACCGCTCGCACTTTTCTTCCTCCATCAGGCTCATTCTTGATCTAAACAAGCTATAAGAGCACATGTTTGATTCTACAGTAAAAAACTGGTAAAAGACTAATCAACTATTGATGGGGAGCAGCAATTTTCTCTGTGGTCAAAGAAGGGCACTTGTGTGTTTAATGTATTGTTATTGTCCTGTGCAGTTCCACTAGTAATGTGACAGAGGGCAGTGCAGGTCAGATAAGGAGTGGATTGTCTCTCAGCCACATCCCCATTAGGAGAATTAGGTGAAGGATAGGAAAAGGGTTAGTGCTAGCTAAAATGCAAAACAATTGTCCCTGAAGTGACTCAAACATATCTAGCTACAACCAGGCCTGCCCTGAGAACAGCAGTGGTGGAAAAAGTACCCAATTGTCATATTTGAGTAAAAGTAAAGATACCTTAATAGAAAATGACTCAAGTAAAAGTGAAAGTCACCCAGTAAAATCCTACTTGAGTAAAAGTCTAAAAGTATTTGGTTTTAAATATACTTAAGTATCAAAAGTAAATATAATTGCTCGAATATACTTACGTTTCAAAAGTAAAAGTATAAATAATTTCAAATTCCTTATTTTACGCAAACCAGACAGCACCATTTTCTTGTTTTTATTTACGGATAGCCAGGGGCACGCTCCAACACTCAGACATAATTTACAAACGAAGCACGTGTTTTGTGAGTCCGCCAGATCAGAGGCAGTAGGGATAACCAGGGATGTTCTCTTGATGTGTGAATTAGACAATTTGCCTGTCCTGCTAAGCATTCAAAATGTAATGAGTACTTTTGGGTGCCACAGAAAATGTATGGAGTAAAAAGTACATAATTGTCTTTAGCAATGTAGTGAAGTAAAAGTAGTCAAAAATATAAATATTAAAGTCAAGTACAGATACCCAAAAAAACTACTTAAGTAGTACTTTAAAGTAGTTTTACTTAAGTACTTTACACCACTGGAGAACAGTCTTGGTTTTCACTAATGTGATGCTGAGCTCATCACTCTTGGTACTCAGCAGATGTCTGTCCAGCATACTCATTTAGCACCATGTCTTGCCCCTGCATGTGTGGAATCATAAAATGTGGACACACACATTCGACCATTCAGAGACAAAGGGGCCGTCACTGCAGGAGTACATTTTTATCATCTCATGTTCACTCAACAGTTTTCAGTGGGCCAATATGTAGACTACCTAGCCTCATACTACAGTATACTTTAGTTGGCTCGCATCTACTACAAGACCATGGTGCTTGCCTACGGAGCTGTGAGGGGAACGGCACCTCCTTACCTTCAGGCTCTGATCAGACCCTACACACAAACGAGGGCACTACGTTCATCCACCTTTGGCCTGCTAGCTCCCCTACCTCTACGGAAGCACAGTTCCCGCTCAGCCCAGTCAAAGCTATTTGCTGCTCTGGCACCCCAATGGTGGAACAAGCTCCCCCACGACACCAGGACAGCGGAGTCACTGACCACCTTCCGGAGACACTTGAAACCCGACCTCTTTAAGGAATACCTGGAATAGTATAAAGTAATCCTTCTACTCCCCCCCCCCCCCCCCCCCCCCCCATCAAAAAAATAATAAAAAAAGTGGTTGTCCCACTGGCTATCATAAGTTGAATGCACCAATTTGTAAGTCGCTCTGGATAAGAGCGTCTGCTAAATGATGTAAATGTAAATGTAAATCTTCAACTTCAGTCGATCCACCTTTCAGGGATTATCGCCATGGCTGTGTACATCCTGCCCCAAGCCGACACCAAAAAGGCTCTCAAAGATCTTCATTGGATCCTGAACAAACTGGAGACCACATTCCTGGAGGCAGTGTTCATTGTTGTGGTGGACTTTACCAAAAGTAATTTGAGAACCGTGCTCCCAAATTATTACTAACACATCGACTGTCTAACTCACGGAAATTCTACTCTTGACCACTGTTAGACACCTTTTCGGCACAGGTATAAGGCCCCCTCCTGTCCTCCTTTCGGCAAATCCGACCATGACTCTATCTTGCCTCTACCCACCTACAAACAAAAACTCAAGATGAATGTTCCAGTGGTCAGGTCTGTACAGCGTTGGTCCGACCAATCAGAATTTACACTCCAAGACTGTTTTGATCACGTGGACTGGAATACGTTCCATGTCGCTTCTGGAGATGATATCAATGAATACGCCGACTCAGTCACCGGATTCATAAAAAAATGCATAGATGACGTAATACTGATAGTGTCTTTCAAAACGTTCCCGAATCAAAAACCATGGATTGATCGGAACCTTGTAGGAAAACTGAAAGAGAGAGATGCTGCTAATAAACAGGGCAAGGTGACCGGGAACAATAGTTTGATTAAACAGTACAAATACAACCTACGCAGATCGATCAAGATGGCGAAACACAAGTATAGGGAAAAAGTGGAGCAATTCAGCGGGTCGGACACAAGGTGTATGTGGCTCCTAACGATCACGCATTACAAAAAGAAAGTCAGCCACATCGCAGTCACCAACGCCACCCTACCGGAGGAGCTAAACACCTTTTTCTCACGATTCGAGCACAATGACCCTGAGCTGCCGAGGAGAGCCCCCAATGACAACGTGGGCTCCACACTCACAGTCTCCACTGAGGATGTATGTAAGTCATTCAAACGTATTAAACCTCGCCAGGCTGCCGGCCAAGACGGCATCCCTAGTTGTGCCCTCAGAGCATGTGCAGACCAGCTGGCTGTTGTGTTATTTGACATTTTCAATCTCTCCCTAGCTCAGGCCACTATACCCACCTGCTTCAAGATGTCCACTTGACTCTCAAGATGTCCTTGACACTGACTCTCAACACGGGGGCCCCACAAGGGTGCGTCCTCAGTCCCCTCCTGTATTCCCTGTATACCCACGACTGCATGGACTCACACAGTTCCAACTCCAGCATCAGAGAAGCTGAAATGGTCTAACCACATGGACACCGTGGTGAAGAAGGCACGACAGCAACTCTTCAACCTCAGGACGCTGAAGAAATTCGGCCTGTCCCCGAGGGCCCTCACAGTGTCTACAGGAACACCATCAAGAGCATATTGTCAGGCTGCATCACAGCCTTGTACGGCAACTCCACCGCCGCGGACTGCAAGGGGCTTCAGAGGGTGATACGTGCAGCCGAACGCACCAGGTGTTGCAGGAAGCCCAAGAAGATCATCAGGGACCCCAGCCACCCAAGCCATGCCCTGTTCTTCTGACTTCAATCACTCAGACGCGGGCAGTACAGGAGCATCATGGCAAAAACTGGAAGACTGGCCAATAGTTTCTACCCTCAAACCATCAGGCTGCCGAATAACCACCACTAGTCAGCTTCCTGTTACCCCCTTCCCCTGCTCCTCCCCCTATGTACATTCCCCCCCCCCCAACCCCTCAACAGTCACTTACCTTACATGCTGTTCCCCCTATGGACATTTGCTCTGCCCCCACCCCAATGACAT